GGAGGCTTGTTACAACATTTCACAGATTGGCAAACTATGGCTCACAGTATGTCATCACATGGTTGATAATTGGAGCTGGGTTGGAATCTAAGTCAGTTGGGTCCCATAGTGTGTTTCAGTATTTCTTAGGCTTTTGGACCAGTAGGTTTCAGGGTCTTGCACCTGGGATCCCCTGGTGTCAGAGAGCTTTGTCCAGCCCCTTTGTGGAGGCTCAGAGATGTGGTTGGACATGCCCACAGGGTCAGTAGTGGGCTTGCAAGATTGAGGGTCTGTACTTGACTTCCTCAGGCCCCAGAGCATTAATGTAGTTTAAACTTCTATATGGCTGGGCCAATCCCCACCCATCACTCCCACCAACCTGTGCTTCCTGGACCATTTTCCTAAAGAACGTCAAAGTTGTCACCTTTCCTGGAGGCTCCTGTCCAGCTGAGGGAAGGAAGAGAGTGTGTTAGGAGCTCCTGGGACTGTATAAACTTTCTGGAACCCAGGACCAGGATCTCCCTGTTCTCTCTCCCTACAGGAAGAGAGAAAGGGTTTCAGCCAGAGCCTGGGATCTTAAGCCTTCTGGTGCCAAAGTCAGTGGGTGGGTAGTGGCCTGGCCTCCAGATCCAGGCCCACATGCCACTCTGGCTGCCCCAGGAGTAAAGCCCTGCTTGTGCAAAGCCCTGCTCAGGCAGTCTTCATTTTTAGGGCTAATCTAGGCTTTCCCCAGGATGGCCTACCAAGTGTGTCTCCATGCTGTGGCTCATGAGGCCTCCCCTGTTGCCTCTATACTACATCTTGCTGATGCCCAGACTCCAGGTTTTTTGCCTTTGTGAAATAAGGATAATGCTTCCCGCCATCCAAACTGTGATAAGGACAATTATGAGGTCACCTTTTGCACCTGGCACCTGGCATGGGGCAGGCATTTGGCTAGTATAATTTCATCTTTCTTCCTGGTCCTGCCCCACTTACCTTCATAGTCCTACCCAGGACTTTAGTTAGCTCTGCTGAACTCATTGCTGGCCTCTGGTGTCCCTGGTACTACATGGCAGAAGTGATTTCTTATCCAGTTTTCAAGTTTTTCTGGAGGTCTTGCTGTTTTAATCCTTTGCTCAGGTAGTGCCTGCTCTCAGGTGCCAGCCTTAATGACTGGCTAGGTCCCTTCTGTATTTCCTAGCACTCCTGTGTTCATCTCTTTCACAGCCCTGTTCACTCTTGTTTGTGGTCATTGCCTCTTTCCCCGCCCCTTGAACAGTTGGTGAGTTTATGGAGGGCAGAGGGCAAGCCTGATTCATTTCTCTGGCCTCATTGCCAGCCCAAGGTCTGGCTTAGTAGCTGCCTGCTAACCCTTTGTTGGATAAATAAGTAGGAGCCCCTCTCATCCCCTTTGATCTTCTTTCCCTCTAACACTTGAGGGCAGGAGGTTGTTGTGTGCCCTTATTTTTTTTTTAACTTTTCTGTCTGCTCTAAGGCTGTAGTCGTAGTTGCAGCTTTTCTGCTAGAGACCCTTGGCTAGGGCAGGAGCTGCAGTGCTGAGAGAGCAGATCCTGTGGGGCAGGGATTGGATTTGGGGGAACTGGCTGGAGTCTAGTCGATAGCCTCTGAGGCAGGAGGGACATTTGGACTGCTGGAATGTTGTACACAAGCAAGAGTCTGTGTTGTCCATGGAAGCCCATTAAGGGCTTCCCAGTGCCTTTGTCATCTTTAGAACGCCAGCCAGTCATACCTTCCCATACCTTCCCAGGGTTGGGCCTTAATGGTGGGGCTGCTGGGTATTCCTTGGTCACCCCTTCTTCATCCCCTCCTTTCCAGCCACTCACTTAGGACCTCTGAGGGCCTCTCACTTGTACATTATCTCTGTCTCTGCTGGTCTCACCCCTTCCTTTCCATGATTGGTAACCACCACTTAACCAGTGTTTAGTACATTATTTACAAAGCCTTTTCTGGTCCTGAAGCTCCTCTGATCCTCCCCCCCCCCCAATTTTTTTATAACTTTATTTTATTTAGATTTTATTTATTTATCTTTAGAGGGGAAGGGAAGGAGAGAGGGAGAGAAATATCAATGTATGGTTGCTTCTTGTGCGTCCCCTGCTGGGAACTGGCCTGCAACCCAGGCATGTGCCCTGACTGGAATCGAACTGCGATCCTTTGGTTCGCAGGCCCATGCTCAATTCACTGAGCTACACCAGCTAGGGCTCCTCTGATCCTCTTGATAGCTCTTTCAGGTATATCACATGTCCCCCATTTGATAGGAAACTAAGGCTTGAATAGCTCAGGAGCTTACCCGAAATCATGCAGTGAGTGAGTGAGTGAGTGAGTGAGTGAGTGACAGAGTGACAAAAGTTGGGGTTGGAGCCCAGAGCTTTGGTCTCCAAACTTTGTGCTTCCTACTTTACCAGTAATTTCTCTCACCTGAGCTGGGGGGAAATGGCCTACAGAGAGGTGATCCCCTGCGGTTGGCAGTTGTCTGGATCCTATAAATCCCTAGGCAGTGTGATGTCCCCAAGGAGCAGGCTTGGGATTTTTGGTTCCTAGCCTTGATACTTGTTCAGGCTGGCTTCTTCTGATGACCAGCAGAGGGCATAAGAGGCCTGGGAAAGGTCTACTGCTTTTGGTTTGTTTGGTTTTTGAAATGGAAAATATGTTTTAAGTGACACGTAGACATTAAATTTTTTAATAGACTATATTTTAGAGCAATTTTAGGTTCAGAGCAGAAGGTATAGGGAATTCCCATTATACTACCTATCTTCACACATACATAGACTTTCCCATTATCAACATCTCCTACCAAAGTGATACATTATTATAATTAATGAACCTACATTGACACATCACAATCACCCAAAGTCCATAGTTTACAATGGGATTCACTCTTTTTTAATTTTGTCATTTCTTTTTTAAGTATCAAATCTTTATTATATTTTTCCATTACCATTTACTCCCTTAATACCTCCATTGCCCCCCAACAATCACCACACTGTTGTCCACGTCCATGAGTCCTTTTTCCCTTTTGCTCAATCCCTCCACCCCCCCAACTAGCTGTCATCTGTTCTCCATCTGAGTCTGTCTCTGTTTTGCTTGTTTGTTTTTTTTGTTGTTGTTGTTAAGATTCCACATACAAGTGAGATCATATGGTATTTGTCTTTCTCTGACTGGCTTATTTCACTTAGCATAATGTTCTCCGGGGTCATCCATACTGTCGCAAAGGGTAAAACTTCCTTCTTTTTTTATGGCCAAGTAGAATTCCATTGTGTAAATGGCCCATAGTTGTTTTATTGGGATTCACTCTTGGTGTACATTCTAGGGGTTGTGGACAAATGTAAGATGACATGTATCTACCATTACAGTATCATATATAGTACTTTCACTGCCCTAAAAATCCTCTTTACTCTCTCTTATCATCTCTGCAATATTTTGAAAAACACGTTTGAAAATACACGTTTGTACAAGTTCACTTAATCCAAACCTTTGGGGCCAGATGTGCTTTGGAATTTAGAAAATTTCCAGAATTTAGAAAAGTCATCTGGTATATATACTGCCTACCTGTAACACCTCCAGGGGGCACTGTGGCAGCACCTCATAATCAAACACCCAAATGTTTCTTAATGGAAATGTTTAAATATTCACCTCCAGGTGGGATAAATAGGTTCTTATCAGCCCAGGTCACACAGTGATGCCAAATGAGTTATATAAAGACTTGGTTTTCAAAGCTTTTTGAGTTTCGGAATTTTGGGCAAGGGATTGTATACCTCTTATAAAGAAGGAGGTGAGGTGCCCTGACTGGTGTAGCTCAATGGATTGAGCGCGGGCCTGTGAAGCAAAGGGTCACCGGTTCGATTCCCAGTCAGGACACATGCCTGGGTTGCAGGCCAGGTCCCCAGTGGGGGACACATGAGAGGCAACCACACATTCATGTTTCTCTCCCTCTCTTTCTCCTTCCTGACCCCTCTCTCTAAAAATAAATGAATATATTTTTTTTAAAAAGGAGGTGAGGTAATATCACCTGCAATCACCTGTATCCAACACTTAGGGATAATATTTTGTTACATAGCCTTCCTAAGTTTGTGTGCATATGTGTTTGTACATATATGCATGTATGTGTATGTGTGTTTGTATAAAACGTTCTCAATCACAAGTAAAATAATAGTTTGCATACATTTTATCTTATACAAGATGTTGGAATTCCCTAGCTATATGTGGGGCTCAAGATTTTACCAATAGCCCTGGCTGGGTGTCTCAGTTGGCTAGAGTGGCATCCCATTACACCAAAAGTGTGGGTTCTGTCCTGGTCAGGGCACATACAAGAAGCAGCCAATGAACCCTGGCTGGTGTAGCTCAGTGGATTGAGTGCAGGCCTGCAAACCAAAGGATCGTGGTTCGATCCCTGGTCAGGGCACACGCCTGGGTTGCAGGCCAGTTCCCAGCAGGGGGTGCACAAGAAGCAACCATACATTGATATTTCTCTCCCTCTCTCCTTCCTTTCCCCTCTAAAGATAAATAAAATCTTAAAAAGAAAAAGAAGCAACCAATGAATGTATAAATAAGTGGAACAACAAATCTTTCTCCTTCCCTTCCTCTCTCTAGAATCAATTAATTTAAAAAATTTATAAAAAGATTTTACCAATAGCTCCCTTCTCAACATCTCTCCTGCCCTAAGTGGCTAGAGGTTTCCCAGGTGAAATGCCTTGAAGTAGAGCCAGGTCACCCCCCCCATACTTGCCGGCCCTGGGCCTCTGGCTACCTAGGGAAGGTCCTGCATTGGATTCCCCGCATGGTCAGCAGGAGGCAGAATGCAGCTGGGGCCCCTCTGGGAGCAAGTCTTCTCACACAGTGAGTGCTTCTTTAAAAGAAAGGGTCTCCTGCTCCACATGCATGGAATGGTCAAACAGGGCTGAGAACTTCACCTTGCCCAGTGTCCTCTCAGCCAATCAGCTGGGCCTCTCAGGAGCTCAAGGGCAGAGCTCTGGGGAGGGGGTACAGGCCTTTCCTGTTGCTGACCCCCTACCTCTTCCCTGCAGCAGGAGCACTGGTTTGAAAAGGCCCTGCGAGACAAGAAGGGCTTCATCATCAAGCAAATGAAGGAGGACGGCGCCTGTCTCTTCCGGGCTGTAGGTGAGTCTCTGCCTCAGCCTTCAATTGCCTAGGGCTGCCCCTGAGTGTCCCAGTTGTCAGGAGTAACCCCTGAAGCAGATTTGAGGACAGTGTTAACTAAACTAGTCTTTTAGGGACTCCAGGCCCCAGCCTCAAGTTGGTATCTGGCCTCTAGCCCTTGGTCAGGAGGCAGTGTGGTGATGTGAGAGTAATAACAGCACAATAGTGATAAGGAAAATAACATTACTTAGGGACAGATTGCCCTGTCAGCCACCACAGGAAACGCTTTTAATTCTTTCCCAAACGCTGGGTAAGTGTCAGGACTGTTGCTTCCATCTGTCAGATGAGAAAAACAGCTCAGAAATGGGCAAGGATTGCCCCAGGTCAGATAATACATGGTAGAGCTAGGAGTTGGAGTCTGGGTTAGGTTAGTCTGAGGGCTCTTAACCATAGTACACTACTTTCTCCTTGGGATCGTAGATAGACCTTTTGTTTAAAAAAAAAAAACCTTAAAAGTAGAGACAGTAGTGAACCTTCAAGTACTCATCATTCATCTTCCAAATAGTCATCAACACGTGGCCAGCCCTGTTTCATCACTGCCCTGCTTGCTCTTTCTCATGCTTCTGAAATGAGTATTTTTAAAGCAAAACCCAACATTGGGTCATTTCATTTTTAAATATTTCTATTATCTTTCTCTGACAAATAGGGTCCTAGGGTCGGTCAGTCTGTTTGTGTGTGTGTGTATGTGTCTGTCTCTCTTTCAACATGACCAAAATGCCATTATTGTACCTAACAAAATGAATAATTCCTCAACACCATTTACTTTCCAATCTAAACCCAACAAGCAGTCATGAGGTCCTATGCTAGAGTCCAGGGGAAGCTGGAAGTGTGATCTGATTCTTTTGGGGCAGTGATATCTTCCATAGAATGTGTCCTCTGATAGGACCTCTGAGCTGGGAGTCAGAAGCCCTTTTTTTGTTCTGGCCCTCACTCATAATTTTTATTGTTCCACCTGTGAAGTGGTATTGATTTTGAATGGCTCCTTAAATCCCTTCTGGGTCCGTTGTTCTCAATCTGTGGGTATTCCCCTCTACCCCTTGTGCCTGCTGATGGGCTGTACTGACCCAGGCTCCACTCCAGGCTGTGCTGGTGATTCTCCATGTGACCTTGAGCAAGCAGCTTTTTTTTTATCCTGAGGCTGTTTTTTGTCTATAACATGAGGCTAGAAGACCCAGTGTTGTAACAGTTAAGTGTGATGACTTAAGTAAATTCCTTTAGTACCTGGCAGCATAGTAGCCCCTCATAGAAGAGTAGCATTGGTAAAAGCTTGAATGCTATTCTCAGTGGTGCCTCAGAGTCAAATGTTTGTTGAACGGGTAAAAGAAAGGTGGGGTGAGTGGTTGTCTTCTTCTTTTCTACTAAACAGGAGGTTTGTGCAGTGGTCTCTGCTGGGCTAGGAAATTCCCAATCCTCCTACTCTTGTGGTTCAAATCTGTGTTCTCCTTGAGATGTTTCCTAGAGAAAGAGGTTGGGAGGCATCCTGGACCAAAGGAAAGTGAAGAAAGAGTAGGTGCGAGCCTTTTCAGTGCTAGGTCCTGTTCTGAGATCTCAGGCTGGTTGTAGGGTAAGCAGGGCTGCTGGTGGAATGAGGTTTGGAGAATGCAGTTGGGCATCTGGGTCTTGAGCAGTCTTTGGGGCAGACCTTGGGGCTAGTGAAGACCTGCCTTGTGAAGTAACCCACATGTAGAACAATATTTGCTCATGTGTTCATTTAGCTATTTTCCACAAACATCCTCTGGCCCTTCCCCCCCATTGGGCCTTCCGGGAAGAGGCCTGAGCTTTCAGAAAGAGCTGACCATGGCAGGTTGAAGGCCTTTCCTTATCAGCACAATGGCTATACATTTCCCTTGACTGAGCTGCCCTTGGCTTTTCTCCATAAAACCTCAGAAGCCCCATGGTTTCTCCCCAGAAGTACATGGCCCCTGAGTCTGTAGGCCTCTTCTGGAATTTTCCCTGGGGCAGAATGCATACAACATGTGCTTGTAAAGGGGACTCCATCCTCAGACTTTCTACTCCTTCTCTGCTTCCAGCCTAGCTTCCACAGGAACAAGTGGTACTTGCCCTAGGCTCTGGTGAGAAGGCTACATGTTCTAATTTCCTGCCACGCATTGAATAGTGCAAGGAGCACGTAATTGGGGGTAAGAGTTGGAGGGGGGATTGTAGACATAGGGAACACTCTGTTATTCCTTAATCTTGACTCTTTGCCTTCAGTATTATGCATTCAGCTGGATACTTCAGGTTCACCTGCAAAATTGGGATCATTATCCCATGAAATGGGTAAGAATAATGAGGCTCAAGAAAGGGAAATGACACGCTCAGGTCATTAGTGTCAGAGCTGGCGTGGGAACCCAGAGGTGCCAAAGGACACATTCTTCCTATTGCTCTAGGAAATGCCGTAGCTTCTTAATTTAGCTCTCAATGGGCTGGGTGATGTGAGCTGTATTCCTTGACCTCTCTGGGCCTTACTTCATCCAACTAGGAGCCCATGGCCCTCTCCTGTTGTGAGTCCTGAGGCAGGCGGCTTTCTACCTTCTGTTTTGGCTCTGGGGTCTGGGTGTCCCTAGTGTGAACCACTATCCATTGCTTGTGCCCAGTTCTTTCCCACCACCCTGAGGGACTCAGCATCAGCAAAGGCTTGGGTGGAATGGAAGTGGAAGCCTGAATCCCAGAGGTATCCTGTGGTCCACTCTTTCTCTGCTGTGCTCAGATAACCTCCTGGAAACGTGAGTCTGTATCTCGTCTTTCCTTCTCCCCATATGGTTTGACTCAGCAAAATCTTCTGGCCCTGGTTTCTGTGGGTAAAGTAGAGGCCACATGTGCATGGAGAAGCAGCTGGGGATGTGCATGTTATAGCATCAAGGCCCAGAAACATTAGCTAGGCCCATTCCTCTGGGCCCTTTGGTCTTAGAACATGGACCATCAGCATTAAAGGGATGAATCTTAGACCAGTTTTGACTGTTTTATAAGTGGGGAAACTGGAAACTCAAGAGAAAGCGAGGACCCTGTTATCTAGGTCACTCAGGCTGGTGTCAGAACATTGGTGTTCGAGGTTGAACCAGGCCAGGAAAAGATCCCCATGGGCCACCATGTATGTCAGCTTCCATTGGCTTTTGCCCTGATGCCATCAGTCTTCCCATCTTTGCCATGGGAGTCTGAGTAGAGTAGCAGGCATCACAGAGACCAGGCTATTGAGAGGACTGAGTTCTGCTGTCTCCTCACTGAGTCTGTGACATTTGGAGTAGTTGGGGCCACTGTCCAAGTATGCACCACAGCTACTTGACAGGCAGGTGAGGCTTTTTCCCTGGCTCATTTCTGTGGGGCCAGGAGGCAAGTGAGAACAAACTAGGTCCCTGTCTCCCCCTGCTGCTGTGTGTATATACTTGTGTGGTTTGTTTTAGATTTCCTGCAGACACCAAGCTTCCTTTTCTGTCCTCAGCGGAACTTGCTGTGGCTCTTTTAGCAGGCAGGCAGGCAGGCAGGCAGGCAGGCAAGAACCTGGCAGGGGGTCAGTTCTCAGGTGCTTCTAAAACAAATGGTAGGGCCCTGTATTAAACTTCTTTAGATAGTTCAGGATTTCTTGTCTTGCTTCTCCACATAACCCGTGGGCAAATAGTGACATTTCAGAGAACCTAAGGAGGTTTAGAGACCTTCCTCCAGGCAGCAGTGGAGGGAGATTGAGGCAAGTCTGTTAGGGCTATTGGCTCTTCCCCCCTCCCACCAATCCCTGGCAAAGGTTAGGAAGGAGGGGGTAGGGTCCTCAGTTTTTAAAGCTTCATATCTTGTGTAGCCTTCAGTCTTTCCTGGTTGGTGGCAAGGCACCTACTTGTTGAATGTGATAGTCGTCTTTAGTTGTGAGAGTTGTCCAATGGGACTTTGGCCTCGTGGAACATCTTCGGCAGGGTCTATTGGCTGTGTGTATGTGTGCATTTCTATGCTAGCGTCTCTATGCTCAGAGAAAGAACAGAAGTGGGATCTGGGGAGGTAAGATTCATGCTGACTTCTGTGGCCCTAGTAAGGAGGTGTATCGCCTGATGTCTATAATCTCTGCACACTGTCCGACTTTTCCAGCTGATTCCTGCTTGTGCTTTTAGGGAAACTGAGATAGACAAGATCAGGCCTGGCCCCAGGGCATCAGGTGGTTACTGTAATAGCTCAATTGGAGTGGTGGCAATGTCGTCTTGGGCATCATTGCTTAAAGTCAGTCCTTGAGAGCCTGGCTTCCCCTTCACCCTCCCAAGTGTGTGACCTTGGGCCAGCTATGCCACATTTCTATACCTCAGTATCCCTCCTATGTGAAGTTGAGTTTGAGGAGGGTAAAGATAGAATGAGTTGAAATGTAAAAAGGCCTTGGGGGAACCAATTGTAGTATTGTACCAAGGATTACTGAGCCCTTTTTGGTCTGGGACAGAGGTGAGGTAGTGGGGGACCCTCTTCCAGCTGGACGCTGGAAGGGGAGAGCAGGTGCAGATTGCCCACAGATGCAGCGTCAGCAAGAGGACAAGTTTCAGTTTCTATCAAAACAAGTTCTCTGAATTCCCCTACCTCTGCAAGTCCATTGGGCCCTTTCCCCTACCATAGCCCCCACAGGGAAATCCAGTCTGGCCCTTACCCCCTGTGCCAGCCTTCTAGGAGGAGGAACGCTTTCAAGAGGACAGAGGTGGGACTAGCAAAGTCAGGCAAGAGCTTCCTCAATGAGGACTTCCTGTGTAATTAGCCCATACCGGATATTTATTTTTCTTTCCACCTTTGTATCATTGAAAAGATCCTTCTACTCTCCCTCTCTGGGGAGGAGCTATTGCTCTGTGTTCTTGGTTCTGAGGAACATGTTTTCCACATTAATGATTCCTAAACTAGGATGTGTCTTACCAGTGAGGTTGGCCATCTCCCCACCAGCATGATTAAATACATGTATCCTACCACCTGTCTGCATCTTAGAATTGAGGAGAGGTTATATTTTTCATTTTATTGATAAGTAGAGAAGGTCATACCTCTCCCACAGTTAAGGACCCTCTTATGCGAAACCTGTATTATTAATTTGACATTAATTTGGTTGCTAAAGACTTGCACTACAATTACAGAAGGTGGGGTCTGTGGCCCTTTGGCATCAGTAAAGGTGAAACTGGAAAAAAGACACTGGCATTCGGGGTGGGCTGCCTGTCACGTACCAAACCCAATAAGCAGAGACAGGGATTTAAATCTTTTGGGGCTCTTTATTCAGATGGCCGGTAATCTGAGAAGATGGCGGGGCGGGTTCACACCCTGACAAACCGTTTTACATTTTCTTTCCAAGCTAGCTGTTTTTTGTAACAGGGAATAAACAAGGTGCGGTGAGAGCTTTTGAAATTCAGTGAAAATTAGGTAAAAGAAAACTGCAGCATTCTCGCCCTGGGCAGTTAGCTGTTCCCAGGGGCGGGTGGTCGTCTGTCTCTTCCTGGAATACAATGGCCCGGATGCCTCTACTTGTTCCCCGGGCGGTAATCTTTAGCTGTGCCCCAGGAGGTCGGCTGTCTCTCCCTGCAGTCAGGATGGGCCTTATCTGTAGTTCCTGAAACAATAGCTTTAACATATGCATTACTTACTAAGCTTATAACTATTTACCTTAAACTAAAAATTTCTAACTCTTGAGTCCCCTGTCAAAGGTAGAGAGCCGGTTCTGTGTACACAAGGGACAGCCTAGACTCCAGGTTTGGGGCTTGCTTCTGGCTGAGGAAGTACAACAGAAATGAGGAAGGGTTTAATAAGTGGTTCCGGTGACATTTTGGCTGATTTGTGGGTGTCTAGCTACCTGAAGGAGTCATCGTCTTCCTCATGACAAATGGAGCCCTGTTTCTTGAGCATCTGGTATGCCTCAGATGTTTGGCGAACTGTCCTCTGTTGTCTTCACAGTGTCCTCCTGTGAGAGGAAGAGGAGTTACTCTCTTTGCTTTATGGATAAAGACATTGAAGCTCAGAATTTTAAGGGCCTTGTTCAGTGCCCCACAGCTAGGAAGCAGCAGAGCCTTTCTGCCCGGCAAAGGGGGGTCAGACAGGGAAATGTGGGGACTCTCATGGTGTTCTTCCCTGATTCCCTTCCCTGCCCCAGTCTCCCTCTTTCTCTGTTTCCTTGCATCTAGCATCTAGTTCAGGTGGATCTATCTGCTAGCAACATCTAGCCACCTCTAGGAGCCTGGCAAGCCAGTCGCTATTTAACCCCTTTGCTCCCATTTCAGTTCCTGTTTACTGCAGCTGCCCACAACACTGCCTCCTCAGCGCCCAAGCCCATTCTACAGAAATAGCTTGTCAAGCAGCTCTGGCAGGCAGGCAGCCACAGTGGGCTTTGTGGTACTGGCTTCTAAGAAAGGCAACAGCAGGGGGCCCCCAGCCTATGCACAGGGCATGTGACTTTCTGGAAGTGCCGCTGGGGGGCGGGGGAGAATGTAGCCACAGAACCCACATCCTTGTTTACATCAGTGATGGGGCTACCCCTTCCCGCCTTCACAACCCTCGCGCTCAGGTCCTTGCACACCTCCAAGAGGACTTGAGAGCAAGCAAAGCAACCTTTCTCTCCTTATTTCACAGAACCCTCCGCGGAGGGAAGGGAATTGCATTTTCTGGCAATTCTTCACAGAGGTAGACTGACCGTCATGGAAGAATTTTGCAGTGTTCCCTGCAGAACCTGCCCCTGCCCCAGTGCAGGAGATCCCATCAGAGCAGTGGTCTTCTATGGAGACAAAGGGAAGTTCCCTCTTCGTCTTAGCCAGTGGACATCAGGCATGCCTCATCTTTTTGCCCACCTTAATTTCCCAGGGAGAAGAGTTCCTGACTCCCCCAGCTTGTCCATCCATTTAGCAAACTCTTCCCAATTTCCTGCACTGTATTGGACCCTGACCTGGGGGTGGACTTGGATGTGAACTGCCCTGTGCCCCCAGTGGGAGCCTACTGTGATCAGGCAAATGGAAAGTCTGTACACACCTTTGATAAATCTGATGATAGAGGTGCCTGGGAGAGTGGGGGAACTATGAAAGAACACATTGGTGTTTGACAAGTAGGCAATCAAGCAGGATAGAAAGAACATCCTGAAATGAGAGAAGGCATGTTGAAGATCTTCAAGCAAGGCAGAGGGGGCCTGGTTCTTACTTTGACCCAAACCCCATGATGCCTGAACCATTTGGTCCACAGGCTGCCCTTCCTGAATTAAGCTTATTTCAGTGCATGTGTATCTTATCTCTCTTACTAGACTGTCTGCTTCTTGCAGACAGGGGCAGGACTTTACTCAGCTCTGTCACCTTCACAGTACTCCATATTTAGGCCCCACTACAGGGAAGGGGACTCTGATTTACTGAGTGACTGCTCTGTCTGAAGCCCTGTGCTGGTCACAGCACACTCATCATCTCATTAAATCTCACAAGAAGGCCTACCAGGGAGTCATCCATCTTGTTCCCATTTAGCTCACTAGTACCTGGCAGAACTGGGCTTAGAGTCCAACTGTTTCCTTTTTCTTTTTCCAGTATACAAAGGCCATGCTGACTCTGGAAAGTCAGGCAAACTGAATTCTAGAGTTGAATAAGTCACAGACCGACTTTCTGTGTGAACTTGGTCAAGCCACAAACTCTTTGAGCCTCACTTTCCTCATGTGAAGAATGAAGGTGGGGATATGGAATCAGTAGTGCTTGAGGCCACTTATGGGACTTAAAATGTTTGTTGACTTGTCTAAGTGGCCAGGTAAGACTTAGACAAAGTCGTCTGCACAAGAGGCCTATGGTTGTATCTCTCTTACTTGTACTTCTGTTATTAAAGACTGCCCCTGGCTGCCTCTTTTTCCATGACCCCATTCTAGCCCACAAGGCCAAGAACTCTCCAGGCCTTGGGGTAAGAAAGGGAGTTTCCCTCGCACCTAGTTGTTCACCCCAAGGATATTCTGTGACTTGGAACTCTTCTCAGGTGGCATCTCTGACCCCAGCCTCTCCTTTCCTTCTGCCTCCACAGCTGACCAGGTGTATGGAGACCAGGACATGCATGAGGTTGTACGAAAGCACTGCATGGATTATCTGGTAGGACCTTGCAGAGACTGTGGGGCAGGGGCAGTATGGGAGGATCTCCTATTCACACAAGCTTTAACCTTCTCTAATCTCTTCTGCAGATGAAGAATGCCGACTACTTCTCCAACTATGTCACAGAGGACTTCACCACCTACATCAACCGGAAACGGAAAAACAACTGCCACGGCAACCACATTGAGATGCAGGCCATGGCAGAGATGTACAACCGGCCTGTGGAGGTGTACCAGTATAGTACAGGTACTTCTGTGGTGGGTAGGTGAGCAACTGATCATACCTGGTCTGAGCCTACCCTACCTGACCCACTGTGAATGCTACTTCCTTCTCTTTTCTGCAGAACCCATCAACACATTCCATGGGATCCATCAAAATGAGGATGAACCCATCCGTGTCAGCTACCATCGTAATATCCACTACAATTCAGTGGTGAATCCTAACAAGGCCACCATTGGTGTGGGGCTGGGCCTGCCATCATTCAAACCAGGGGTAAGCATGTTACCATTTACCATACCCAAGATGGCTATTGGGTTTAGAGGCCAGAAACCTCTGGTTGAGTCTCAATTCTACCCCTAGCCCACAAAAATGTGGTACACCCTCTCTGAGTTGCCTCTGAGGCCTCACCTCTATGAAATCAGGGAGTTACCTAAAGTGATCTCTCAGGGTTCATTCTGTGGTCTGAGTTTGTCTGCCTGAGTTGGCTCACCCATTTTTTGTGCCTATAGAGGGTTGGCATTTTGGGATCTGGAGTCATATTTGGGAAACTAGATCCAGGGCTCAGTCTGGGTGTCTTGGCACCTACAAGGATCCTCCTTTGAAACTCAGCATTTACAGACATTTGTGGTCACAGAGACTTGGAGATCAGTCCTGGCTCAACACTTAGTGGCTGTGGGACCAAGGAAGTATTCACAAGTCATCTGGGCAGGTAGCTCAGCTGATACAGATAGCGCCTGGCACTGGGCCTGGTGCCTGATAGGTGCTCAGAAGGTGGCAGTACATTTTCCCAGCACACATCGACAGATTCTCATTCTTCCTCATAATATTCATCTGCTGGGAGTTTTGATATCTTCTATTCAGGTTTCACTTCCTACAAACAGAAAGTGCTTCTGCCTCATTTTAGGAAACACACACCCTAACACCAACACACCCTCCAACATTAGGGGGTTTTTGTTTTGTTTTTTAATTTTTTAAAGATCTTATTTATTTATTTTAAGAGATAGGGGAAAGGAAGGAGAAAGAGAGGGAGAGAACATTGAGAGAGATGTTGGTTGCTTCTCATACTCCCCCCAGCTGGGGACCTGGCCCACAAAACCCAGGCATGTACTCTGACCGGGAATCAAACTAGTGACCCTTTGGTTTGCAGGCCAATGCTCAGTCTACTGAGCCACACCAGCCACAGACTGTGGCTGTTTTCTTTTAAATAAACTTTTAATTTTAGAGCAGTTTGAGATTTTACAGAATTATTGTGCTTAGAGAATTCCCATATACCCCACAATGATTAACACCTTATAGCATAGAACATGTGTCACAATGAATGAGCCAATATTGACGTATTAACTAAAGACCATACTTTATTCATATTATCTAAATTTTCTTTAATGATCTGACCTATTCCAGGATCCCATTCAGAACCAAATTACATTTTCAGCTGTTGTCTCCTTTGGCTCATCTTGGCTGTGACAGTTTTCTTTGCATTGTTTTCATTTTTAATCTGTTTACAGATTCTGTATTTGCATTTTCTGGAATGTCATATGGTTGGAATCATACAGTGTGTAGTTTTTTCAGAGTGTCTTCTTTCACCTAACACTGTACATTTAAGACTTTTTTGTGGTTTGATCACTCATTTCTTTTTCCTTCTTAAAAAAAATGTGAATGCCTTGCCCTGGCTGGTGTAGCTCAGTGGATTGAGTGCGGGCTGGGAACCAAAGGATCACCAGTTCGATTCCAAGTCAGGGCACATGCCTGGGTTGCAGGCCAGATCCCCAGTGGGGGGCACGTGAGAGACAACCACACATTGATGTTTCTCTCCCTCTCTTTCTCCTTCCCTTCCCTTCTCTCTAAAAATAAATAAATCTTTTTTTTTAATGTGAATGCCTTGAGTTTACAGAAAAACTAAGAAGATAGTACAGAGTTCCCATGTATTCTTCCTCCCTCCTGCACATAGTTTCATTATTAACATGTCAGATGACTGTTATTCATTTGTTACAGTATATGAACCAATGTTGATACATTAAAGGCATCATGTCTCTTCAGGCTTCTTTGTCTATGATGGTGTCCCACACTTTCATGTTTTTGATGACCTTGACAGTTTTGAGGAGTACTGGTTAGGTATCCTTAAGGTTGTTTCTCTTTTGGAATTTGATGTTTTTCTCATGCTTACACTGGGGCTATGGGCTGTAGGGAGGAAGACCACAATGGTAAAATGCCATTCTCATCCCATCATATCAACAGTACCTCACTGTGAAAATGATTTATGACTGTCGTTGTTAACCTTGATCACCAGGCAGAAGCAGTGTTTGTTTTCTCCATTGTAAAACCATTGTTTTCCCCCACCCTCTTTTCCACACTGTATTGTTTGGAAAGAGGTCATTGTATTCAGTTCATACTTAAGTAGTTGGTGTTAAGCCCCATCTCCTTGAGAGCAGAATAGCTACATGCATTTTTTGGAATTCTTCCTGCAAGGGAAATTGGTCTCTCATTCCCCATTTATTCAGTCATTTGTTTATTGAGTATGGACTCACAGATATTTATTTCATACTTTGGGTTATAATCCAATGCTATTTTTATTTGGATGCTCAAATTGTTTCATTTTGGGCTATTGGAAGCTGTCTTAGTTGGTTCCTGCATCTCTTTGACATACCCCCACCATTGTGGTCTAGTGTGTTTTTTAAAAATTTTTGTCTTTGTTTTTTGATGATGTTCTTTTTGTTTTTGAGCACTTTCTTTCTTTCGAGCACTATAGATCCTCCAGGCTCAGCTTATATATTTCCTTCCTTGGTCTTAGAACCAGACATTTTTTCCAGGGGCCCTGGTTCCATTTATTGGGATGCTATTAAAAACCACAATCTGGGTGCTGACTGTGCTCCTTTTTAAAAATGTTTTTATTTTAGAGAGAAGGGAAGGGAAGGAAAAAGAGAGGGAGAGGGAGAAAAACAGTGATGCAAGAGACAAACATCGATTGGTTGCCTCTTGAGTGCCCCCCAACCTGGGACCTTGCCTGAAACTCAGGCATGTGCCATGACCTGGAATCAAACCCGTGACCTTTCAGTTTGTTGGATGATGCCCAACCCACTGAACCACAACCACTCAGGGCTGATTGTGCTTCTTGATACTGGAGTATCCTTCTTCCTAGGCCCTTTCAGCTGATGGAGTAAGGAGATAAATATGTGTATACTAACCTGTGTGTATACACATATCCAGAAATATTTCTATATATAACTGTCCATAACTGTATGAACCTGCCAGCTAATAGGTACTGCTTTGTTTTAATTTTTAGTTTTTTAATGAAAAACGGTGTTGAGCATCTTTGCATGTGCATATTTGCCATCTGTATAACTTCTTTGATGAAATTGTGTTTATTTATTTTGCCCATTTTTAAATTGTCTTCTTCTAACACAGAGTTTTACATACCTTTTGGACTGTTATCCATAGGTAAAAAATCTACATTTTATATCATTACTTCGTGTATACACATCAGTGTGCAGTGTGTATATGTGCATTAAAATGTTAGGATTTTATTGAACAGTACTTACATGTACTCTCTGGAGTATGCTCTGATATTTGTTATTATTTGTTTTTTAAAATGCAATCATATCTCACAATCTAACAAAGAGCACTCTCATACATTCTGATACTACTACCCCCTCGTCCCCATAAATACCTGACTGCTCCCTCCACCGCATGCGCAAACAGCTAATTTCTTAGGCAGTCTTTTCTCCTTGGCCCATCTGAGCATAGATGAGGAAGGCCTCAGCATTATGAAACTTAAGTCATCACTGGGTAAGGCTTCTTTAAATTCTGGCCTACTCTGGCTGGTGTAGCTCAGTGGATTGAGCACGAACTGCTAACCCAAAGGTTCCCAGTTCAATTCTCAGTCAGGGCACATGCTGGGTTGTGGGCCAAGTCCCCAGTGGGGGCCATGTGAGAGGCAACCACACACTGATATTTTTCTCCCTCTCTTTCTCCCTCCCTTTCCCTCTCTCTAAAAATAAATGAATTTAAAAATAAATAAATTCCAGCCTAGGCTAGAGGGCACCTGGCTGCCCCAGACATAGTACTTTAGTTTTCTTGGGTTTGGGAGCAGGGCATCTGGGTGTAGGAGTTTGGAACTACTAGTTCTACTACCCACGCCTGCTTTTCCCCAGTCCTTGATGAACAGTCAGCCTGCCCAGGGGAGTGCTTAATAAGAGGACCCGCCTTCCTATCTCTACTCTTCGGGCCTGTGGGCCCACCTCCCTGAGCCAGGTCTGGCTCTTGGCCAGAGTTCAGAGTGTCTCCCCATATCTCTGTTCCTCCCACTTTCGCAGTTTGCAGAGCAGTCCCTGATGAAGAGTGCCATAAAAACATCAGAGGAATCATGGATCGAACAGCAGATGCTGGAAGACAAAAAGCGGGCCACAGACTGGGAGGCCACCAATGAGGCTATTGAAGAGCAGGTGGCTCGAGAATCCTATCTGCAATGGCTTCGGGATCAGGAAAAACAGGCCCGCCAGGTTCGCGGTCCCAGCCAGGTAGGTCCTAGGCTCTGTCATTGGCCTGGCTAAGAACCCATTATTTCCCATGCTCTGCCCCAAACAGGCAGAAAAAAATTAAACAGTTTTGACATCTGGGAGACAAGGAAACTCCCAAATCTGTCTGTACCTTATCTTGGCTTCAGTCTTGGCATTGTGCCTTAGAACTCTCAACACCTATGCAGAACAAGCACTTAAAGAGTGAGGGAGGGGGAGAGAAGTCACTAGTGGTGACATGCAGGATTGATGGGTGGATAGTTTCAGAGGGACAAGCTTTTGTTGAATGTCCTTGTGTGTCCGACTCTGTGCTGATAATGTAAAATCAAGTCTAGCCTGCTCCACCTTCAGTGGTCCCCTGTCTATTGAGGGAGACAGATGCCTCAGTGGGCCCATTGACCCTGGCTGGGAGACCAGTGGAGATGGGGGAGCTCTAGTTATTCTTCATACAGGAAAGCTGAAAATTTTAGGGCAAGGAGGGGGCAAAACATACCAACATTTGAGAAATCACAATGAGTTTAGAGTGATTGTAGATATTGGCAAAAGCTGAGTAAATTGTTCAACAAATACTTATTGTAGGTTTGTGCTCCATACTGTTCTAGATGTATAGAGGTACGTTGGTGAGTCAGGCAGGCCCAGATCTGTGTCCATTCTTCTTACATTTTTTGCAGAATGGAACAAAATAAACTATAAAAATAATGAATAAATTAGTTGAGTTGTGGTGGTATGAATGGGAAAAAAAAACATACAGAGGACTTCCAGCCAAGATGGAGGCGTAGGTGGAAATGCTGTACCTCCTCGCACAACCAAGTTTATGAACAACAAATATTTAAAAACCAGAATGCAACCAAAACAGAGAGAAAAGTAAACTGTACTGAAGTGCGACGACAACAAACCATTCATCCAGACTGGTAAGAGGGGCGGAGTTAGCAGCTGGTGGAGAGGGGTCCCGCAGGAAAATGTGGCGGGACAGACCCAGTGAGGGCACAAGGCAGCTGGCTGACCTCGGTCACACATTTGCGCGTAGATAAACCAGGAAAAGGAGCAAGCAGTGAGATAGACTGCACAACCCAGGGCCCCAGCGTGGGAAAATAAAACCCAAAAGCACCAATTGGAAAAACTTTGGGGGGCAAGGTGCCGGGAGAGGCTCTCAGGCTCATAGGAGAGTTCGCTGGAGAGACCCACAGGGTTCTGGAGGGTGCACAAGCCCACACATCTGGGAACTACCACCAGAAGGGCCCAATTTGCTTGTGGGAAGCAGCAGAGGGGACCGAAATCCTAGAGAGAGCAGGAAAAAACGCCATTGCCCCTCTCTGACCCCGCCCTTACATACAACATCACAATCCAGCGACCTGGGTTGCCCTGCCTTGGTGAACACCTAAGGCTCCGCACCTCATACGTAACAAGCGCAAACAGACCAAAACATTGATCAAGAAGAAGAACAGCTCAAAGCCCCAGGGCGATTACTTCTAAGTGACCAAGAGATAGCCAACCTATTAGATGCACAGTTCAAAACACTGGTGATCAGGATGCTCACAGAACTGGTTGATTTTAGTCACAAATTAGATGAAAAAATGAAGGCTTCACTAAGTGAAATGAAGCAAAATGCACAGGGAACCAATAGTGATGAGAAGGAAACTGGGACTCAAATCAATGGAGTGGACCAGAAGGAAGGAAAAAAATGACCAAACAAAAGAATGAAGAAACATGAATTCAAAAAAATGAGGAGAGGCTTAGGAACCTCCAGGACATCTTTAAACGTTCCAACATCCAAATTATAGGGGTACTAGAAGGGGAAGAGGAAGAGCAACAAGTGGAAAACTAATTTGAACAAATAATAAAGGAGAACTTCCCCAGTCTGGCAAAGGAAATAGACTTCCAGGAAATCCAGGAAGCTCAGAGTCCCAAAGAAGTTGGACCCAAGGAAGAACACACCAAGGCACATCGTAATTACATCAGCCAAGATTAAAATGAAGGAGAGAATCCTAGAAGCAGCAAGAGATAAATAGACAGTAACCTACAACGGAGTTCCCATCAGACTGTTAGCGGATTTCTCAAAAGCGACCTTATAGGCAAGAAGGGGCTGGAAAGAAGTATTCCAAGTCATGAAATCCAAAGACCTACATCCAGATTGCTCTATCCAGCAAAGCTTTCATTTAGAATGGAAGGACAGATAAAGTGCTTCTCAGATAAGGTCAAGTTCAAGGAGTTCATCATCACCAAGCCCTTATTATATGAGATGTTAAAGGGACTTACCTAAGAAAAAGAAGATTAAAAATATGAACAGTGAAAGGACAGCAAACTCACAGTTATCAACAACCACAGCTAAAACAAAAGCAAATTAAGAGGACATCTAGATCAGGAGCAGAACCATAGAAATGAAGATCACATGGAGGATTGGCAACAGGGGAGTGGGAGAAGGAAAAGGGGGGAGAAGGTACAGAAAATAGGTAGCATAGACAGTAGATAGAAACTAGATAGGGGGGAGGGTAAGAATAGTATGGGAAATACAGAATCTAAAGAAACTTGAGACACGTGTTCATGAGCTAAGGGGGGAATGGTGGGGGAGGGGTGTGTAGGGTGCAAGGGAACAGAGGGGGGAATAGAACAATTGTAATGGCATAATCAATTAAAAAAAGAAAAGATAAAAAAGATGAACAGTGAAAGGACAGCAAACTCACAGTTATCAACAACCACACCTAAAACAAAAGCAAACTAAGAGGACAGCTAGATCAGGAGCAGAACCATAGAGGTGGAGATCACATGGAGGGTTAGCAACAGGGGAGTGGGAGAAGGGGAAGGGGGGAGGAGGTACAGAAAATAAGTAGCATAGATGGTAGGTAGAAAATAGACAGGGGAGGACAAAAATAGTATGGGAAATATAGAATCTAAAGAACTTGTGACACATGGACATGAACTAAAGGGGGGAGTGGGGGAGGGGTGTGCAGGGTGGAGGGGGGAATGGGACAACTAATGGCATAATCAATAAAACATATTTAAAAAAAACAGCAGGGTAAAGGGAATAAGTAGGGCTAAGTGGGGCTGGGAGTTCACAGTATTAAATAGTGTGGAGCAAATAGGCCTCAGAACAGGTAAATGTGAGCAAAAGCTTGCCAAAGGTAAGGGAGTTAGCTATATGCATGTGCTGGGGCAGGCAGAGAAGCAGCTACAGCAAACACCTTAAGGTGGCACACACCTGGTGGGATTCAGGAGCAGCCAGAGGCCAATGTTGTTGGACAGAAGTCAGACGGGGGGCCAGATTGGGAAGGGACCTGTGGGCCTTGGTGAGGATTTTGGCTCTTATTCTGAGTGAAACAAACCGTGGAGAGTTGTGAACAGGAGGGATGGGATCTGACTTGGGATTTAATAGGATCTCCCTGACTACTCAGTACAGAGCAGAGTCTGGACAGCAAGGGTAGAACAGGGGACCTTGAGGAGGAGGCTGCTACAGTAGTTCAGGTCACTGCTGATGACACAGGCAAAGGAGTGGGGCAGCTCTGGATCTATTTTGAATGTGGAGGTAACAGGTTCCTGTCAGATTGGCTGTGAGAGTGTGAGGAAGGTTAAGGAGCTTACCTTCATTCTGTGGTCCATTGTGTGACTGGAAGTGATGGTGGCCTGTGATAAGTTGTGTCACAACCAGGATTCTGGAAAGGAGTGAGCCCTTGGGGATGGGGCAGTGGAGGATAGAGAGTTTCGTAGGGTCTTACCTCCTCTTTCCTTACCACAGCCCCGGAAAGCCAGCGCCACCTGCACTTCTGCCACAGCTGCTGCCTCCAGTGGCCTGGAGGAGTGGACTAGCCGGTCCCCACGGCAGCGGTCACCGGAGCACCCTGAGCTGCATGCCGAGCTGGGCATCAAGCCCCCTTCCCCAGGCACTGTCTTAGCTCTTGCCAAACCTCCTTCACCCTGCGCACCAGGTCAGTGACTTGCTGACAGGGAGCATGCATGGCTTAGGAGGTGCTGCCTAGGTCCTGGGCCCTGCCTCTTACTGTCCATCTGCCCCAGGTACAAGCAGCCAGTTCTCACCAGGGGCCGACCCAGCAACTTCCCCCCTCGTGTCCCTCTACCCTGCTCTGGAGTGCCGGGCCCTCATTCAGCAGATGTCCCCCTCCGCCTTTGGTAAGCTTCCTCTGTCCAGGGCCAGGGGCTAGCCAGGAGGTTGGGAGAGGTGGAAGAAGCAGTTAAGTCCTGAGAAGGGGTCTCTGGAGTCTCTGGCCATCTCCCTAAGAAAAAGGAATCTTTTAGGCCCAAGGGATCTGCCCCAGGGGGTTCTGAGTGGGGTTTCAGAGGCTCAGAGGAGTCTTCTTAGAGGTAGGAGTGAGAGGGGCCTGGATGGGATCTTTCCAGAATCAGGAATCTGCAAAGGGTAAAGGAAAGGCAGGCTGAAGGTGCTGCTTTCTTTTTCCCTTCTTGCCTAGCAGGTCTGAACGACTGGGATGATGATGAGATCCTAGCTTCGGTGCTGGCAGTGTCCCAACAAGAATACCTAGACAGTATGAAGAAAAACAAAGTGCACAGAGATCCACCCCCAGACAAGAGTTGATGGGGACCCAGAGACTGGAGACCATCTCCCAACTCCCACCACTCCTGCCCTCCGGTGCCACCCCATCTTCTTTGGCTTTCTCCCTCTTGCCTTCTTCCTCCTTCCCTTTCTCCCTTCCTTTTCCTCCTCCCCACTCCCCTCTTGCTGACCCACTCCTGTGCCCCCTCTCATCGCTGCTGCCACCACCATCATCACGTGTCTCTTTGCCAGCTGACGTGCCCTGTTGCCCCCTGCACAGCACCATCCCTGCATTCCACAGGGGACTCGGGCAAGGGTGTCAAAGGTAGGCAAGAGGCACACAGAGACAAACCAACTGGCAGCCAGGCAGTCCCCGAGGAGAGACATTTAGGCAGAGGGAAGCCTTCCTGACCCCCATTCCTCCCAAGTTCCGAAGACCTTGTCAACCCACCTCCACAACTATGCCAGGGAAGTGGGAGGAAGAAGTGGGGAATTCCCCTTTCCAGTACCCTAAGAATGTCTGAGCCTTCCATGTTGAATTTTTTCTTTATTAAAATGTACTTTTATCTTATAAAATTAACCAGTCAAAAACGACATAGACAACAGCATTGACTCTACGAAGGTGGCATCTCTGGTTTGGGGGTAGACAGGTTGTGGCACACAGAGAGGGCACACAGATGTTGCTTTCTCTGGCCTCCAGCTCTGGAGGTGGGCAGGGTCTAGAGTACGAGCCAGGGCAGAGTAGGGGGGGCACAGGTGGTTGGTGTCACGTGGGCTTTGGACAATGAGACTGACCTCACTGCATTCCTGTTGCTTCCACCATCACCACTACCAATCTCTTTGGAATCTTGGAGTAGGGGCACCTTTGAGGATTATGGCCGCCATCCAGGATTTGAGTGTGGGGAGTGGGAGCAGCCTTGGCAATTGGGACACCTGTGCCCTGCAGGTGTTGACAAGATCCACCATCTGTAATGTCCTTGGCACAATAAAACCAAATGTCAGTTTCCCTGAGCGCCTCTGTTCTGTGTGGGGCAGAATGCGGGGGGGGGGGGGGTTCTGGGCAGAGGTGGAGAGGGTATAGACTTTTGCTTGACCTATGAGGACTGTGTGCTTTCCAGTAGGTTCTCTCTGGGGCCCAGAATTTGTGCATATTTGATTCACTGCTTTCTAACCACCTTCTGGACCTGTTACCAAGAAAGCTCCATCTTTGCCTGCTTGCTCCTACCTCAGTACTGGCACAGGATGTAGGCTGCCCACCTTATTTCCCAAGTGTGAGGGGAACAGAGGACTTATCCAACTTCTCTGCCTGCCTCTTTTGCCATAAATGTTTGTTTTTTTCCTTGTGATGATTTGATAAAGAGATACTTTGGAAAGGTACAACGGATTCTTCATAACAATATGAGTTCAGTGGAAGTGACCAGATAGGCCTCCCTGATTGGATTTTAGAAGCCAAGGAATGGCTAAACCCTGTTTTGTTTATCATGTCCCCCTGTTCTCTGACACGTATATGCCCTGACCTAGGGGCAAAGCCAAAGCAGAGGATGGCTGGCCCCCAGGTTTTGTCAAGTGTCTTTTTTGCTGTTCTTCAATAATGGGGCCCCTGAGGAAAGGTACCTGTCCAGCTCTATAGGTGAGGACATGGCTGGCTGCTGAAAGGCTGTCCGAGGGATGTCTAGAATTTATTGGTCAGGCACGTGTATGCCAGAGAGTTGGTTTGAAACCTTCCTCGGCTTTTTCTTGCTGTGTGGCTTTGGTCAAATCATAGGTTCTCTGAGCTTCAAGTGGCTCGTGCATGCAGTGGGGGTGATAAATACCTACTACTTCAAACTCCCATCTGATTGTGAGCAGTGAGAGAGAATGAATATGGTCAACATAATGAAAGACAGCACAGGGCCTGGTGCATTCTAAGAGCTCAAATGTTAGTAGATACTATTCTACCGTTGAAATTTATTATGCACCGTTTGCCCCTGCCTACCTGTTGCCTTCAGTTACCTTGGCCTCTGCCTAGAATTTGCCCTTCCTCTGTCCCAAGTCCCTAACCATGTCTTTCAAGATACGTAGAGGGTTTCTTTCTGAAAAGCCCCTTGTGACTCCATCCACATTCTCCCATCTACCTACAAATGCCTTTACCCCTTCTCCAATAACTGTACTATCAAATTCCTGGGCAAGAGCTATGATGCCTAACTTATCTGTGTATTTCTTTTTTTTTTTAAAGATTTTATTTATTTATCTTTGAGAGAGGAAGGGAAGGAGAGGAGGAGAGAAACATCAGTGTGTGGTTGCCTTTCATGCATCCTCTGCTGGAAACTGACCTGCAGGGAGCTGGCCTGCAACCCAGGCATGTGCCCTGACTGGGAATCGAACCGTGATCTATCTGTGTATTTCTAATATCTGCAATCCCACCAGGACCTGGTAGGCTTACAGGAGACTCCTAATAAATGTACGAGTAAGGGAGAGTACATGTGTGTATTTGCTCTTTGGGTGTTTCCTATGTATGTGTGACTGTGGTGAGTCCAAGTGTTTGTGCATCTCACACAGTGTTTCTAGTTTGTGTGATGAGGGCTTGTTTCCAGGTGTGTCAGATGGTGGGACTCTTATCTCTGACAGTTTGTGTCTTGTTTCTGGGACGAGTGTGTGTTTGTGTAGGTCTGTGATAGTGCATCTGTGATTTCTTCCTGACGGGGTGAATGTCCATCTGTGTTCCTGTGATGGATTCTGAATAGCTGTTTCTGAACAGTGTCAGTGACAGTGCTGCATGCCTGCTGGTGTGTGTGTGTCTGACTGGGTCTGTCTGTGCCTGCTTTTGTAATACTGCCTATCTATATGGCTCTATCACATACATGTGTCTGCCTTTGCAGCAGTGCATGTGTCTCTCTCGAGCATCTATCTAGGTAGCTTCCTGTGACAGACTCTGGGACTCACATTTCTGGGACAGTACAAGTCTTTCTGTGATAGTGCACATTTGATGGTACCAGTATCTTTGTGACAAGTTCTGGCAGTGTGTCCGACAGGGACATTTGTGTGTCATTGTCACATGGTAATATAGGTCTATGCAAATCTCTCTGGAGTGCCTTTCTGTAACAGTGTGTGTCATTCTGGGACATGACTCTGGCAGCATGCCTGCCTGACAGTGGATGTCACTCTTCATGACAGTGTGTGACTGCATGTATGTCTAGGACAAGTTTACACCATATGATGGTATGTTTGTATATCTCACATGGTACTTCAGTGTGTGTCTCTTCTGAGTGCATGTCTGTCTTTCTGTGGCATGAGGCCTATTTTTCCCAAATGTGTGACTAAGGGTATTTCACCACCTCTTCCAGCTCTCAGCCTCTGTCTCTCATCTGGAGCCACCACCACTCTGGCTTACTCTCACTCCTCAAGAGCTCCCCTGCCCCTCTTCCAGATTCTAGACCTGCTGACTGAGCTCACAGTTAGGTCTAGCTAGGTCTATCTAGTTTAAGGGCTACAAAAAACACCCCACAGGCCTCCATCTCTGGGATGCTGCCTTTGACCAGCGTGTACCCCCTGCGGTGGTGATCAGGGGATTACCATCCCTGGCAACTGAACAGGATCTTCCAGAATCCCTGACTTCAGATTCAGAGCGGAAGCCATCGGTCCCCTGTAGGGCCTTTGTCCTCGTTGAGGAGCACCCTACAGAGACAGGGGTCCTGCCTGCATAGCCAGCCATAGGCCCAGATTCTTAGAAGCCAAGCCTGGCGTTATCTCCTTGCTAATTTCGAAACAACAGCAAACCAACTTGCTAGGAAAGGAGGGGGTGCAGTTATTTTTTATAAATTTATATCTATATATACACGTACACACACATATATAAAAACAATCCCGCGCAACAACCAAAACAAATGCAGTTGCGCCAAAGGGATTCCCAGAACCGGTTTCCTCTTCGCGCGCGCCCCCTCATTTACATACAGGCCCCGCCCCCACGGAAGAGCCTGGCGCGTATTTGCATGAGGGGGTACTTGAGACGTTGAGGGTGGTATGCAAATAAGGACTGGTTCCGATTGGCTGGGATACAGCAGGTGCCGCGTCCGGATTGATCAAAGCCAAGTGGGCGGGGCTGTCGCTCGGGGTGACTCTCTCGGGAGGCGCGTGCCCCGGCTCAGTAGCGTTGGGGCTGGAGCGCGCGGAGAATCTTAGCATTGCGCCGTTTGTGGGCGCTTCTGGGCCACCAGTTACCCTACCTTCCACCCTGGCGCCCCCAAGTCCTGGCTCCCCAGCCCCGCTGCCCCGGGCGTCTACACCTTGCGGGCTCAGTGGGCTTAATCTCCGCACCTCCTCCTCCATGTTGAGCAAGCCTCTTCAGGGGCTCGCGGTGGCCCCCGTGACCCCCACGCAGCCGCCAGGTGAGGGAGGCTTCCCTACCGCTAATAGGCCGGGCGGGCTAGAACGGTGGAGGGCGGCGCGGGGGGGAGGGGGAGGGGTCGCGGCGGGGCTCAGCACGCGGCTATCCTGACTTCGTCGCCTCTGCCTGCGTAGGAGGCAAGGATCGGGAAGCGTTCGAGGCCGAGTACCGACTTGGCCCCCTGCTGGGTAAGGGGGGCTTTGGCACTGTCTTCGCAGGACATCGCATCACGGACCGACTCCAGGTATACGCCAGGAGGGTCTGGGGAGGGTCAGGTGTGTGTGTGGCAGGGGCAGGAGGCCCGGGGCTGGGCTGCTGACTGACTGGGAATGAACCCACAGTGTGTGTGTGGTTAAGGTCCTAAGAACCAGGACCCGGCTTGCTGAGCGCGTTCGTCTGCGCGCGCCCCCCCCCACCGTGTGTGTGTGCGCGTGTGTGTGTGTGCGTGTGTGTGTGTGTGTCGGCTCAGGTGGGCGTGTGGGGGAGGGGCAGGGATTCGGAAAGGCCAGGGAGTGAGACCGGCGAGTGAGGGTGGGGGATCTTGATGATTCTAGACCCTGAGATTCAGGGGACGTGTAAGTGTGAAGGTGGGGACCCAGAGCTGAGATTTAGGGGATTTTGGAGACAAGGTGTCCAGTATGGACTCCTGAGGAACAAGACCCTGGGACAGAGTCGGGGCGTCATGAGGCTGGATGGGAAGATGGAATACTGGTTGGGATGTGAAGCAATTTGGAACTCAGAACCTGGATTGCAGTCCTAAGCCTGAGAAGGGAGAGCCCAGGGCTGAGGGCGATGGGAGAGGTGAAGTCGGTCCTGGGGACTTGCGGGCTGGGAGAAGCCCCAGCTCGTTTGGAGGTCGTGGTGTGGTGTGATGGTGGTTGGGGCCACAAAGAAAGACTAAGGTGAGGCCCAGGACTGGGAGGACTCTGGGGGGGTCATCTGCCAGCCCCCTCACTCAGCCTGCTTCTCCAGGTGGCCATCAAAGTGATCCCACGGAATCGCGTGTTGGGCTGGTCCACACTGGTGAGTATGTTCTTCGGCGCCCTTTCTGACCTGGTGGCGCCATGGCTGACGATGGGCTCACTCGCCCCCCGGCCTTTCTATGGATCGTGTGCCTCCCTGGGCCCTGTAACTGGTGAGGAGATCACTCCTCCCAGCCCGTGTTTACTCCCCTGCAGTGACATCCACACCTCCACACAGTTCTGACTCACCCTAGTTTCCCTAGAGCCCTTAGAAGCTCCCCTCCAACCCCTCTTTCTCGTCCTCCCTGCTTCAGGGGCTGCCCGCAGGGCATGCTGGTGGGGAGGGGGGCAGAGGTCACTGGTTGCCATGGTGATGGTGGCTGCTTCTCTGCCGTTAGCGCGCTAACGGACGGCAGGGCGGGTCTGGGCCAGTTGTAAAGAGGGTAGCGCCCCCTGGTGGGAGCTGGGAAGACTGCGCTTGCGCAGTTGCGGAATTTTCATCGCCGTGAGAAAACCTGTTTGCAGCTGTGCAAGTCAGTAGAGTGGCCAGGAGAGGGCCCCACCTCGGGCAGTAATGCTGCTTCTGCAAGTCCCTGTGCGCACGTGGGGCTTCTAGAGTGGGACAGCTTTTGTGGCCAGTAACATTTATACTCTTTATTGAATAGCAACAGGTGTGCCTCTGGCTTTACTTCATAAAATGCTTATTCCAAGTTCCACGAATGACTTTTATTCAACTTGGTTCTAGATGCTTGGTGAGAGTAAAGAACGTGATAACACTGAGTTCTGACTTTGTGCCTGTTCTTTTCTAATTAACTCACTTTCAACCGTTTAACAATTATTGAGCACCTACTGTGTGCCAGGCACAGTTCTAGGCACTTAGGAAAATATATTGAGAGTTTGGTTTGTAGTAGGTTCTTTTCTACTAATTGCTTTCACCTATTTAACACATATGTATTGAGCCTTACCCTGTTAAGAGGCACTGGTCTGAGTTCTTTTATCTATTTAACATTTACTGAGCGTCTACTGTGTATAAGGTGCTGTTCTAAACTCTTGGGAGATGTCAGTGAACAAAACATAAAATATTCCATAATAGCCTTTTATTAAGAACTGCTTTTATGCCCTAGCTGGTGTGGCTCAGTGGGTTGAGTGGCGGCCTGCAAACCATAGGGTCCCTGGTTTGATTCCCAATCCAGGGCACATGCCTGGGTTGCAGCCCAGGTCCCAGTAGGGGGTACACCAGAGGCAACCACATATTGATGTTTCCCTCCCTCCCTAACCCTCTAAAAAGAAAAAAAACTTAAGAAAGAACCTCTTTTGTTCTTCAGATATTTACTGAGCTTCTATTATGTGCTAGATATGCATGGGCTTTTGACTTGAATCACCTTCACAATGGCTGTGTGAGTTTGAGGCATTTATGGTGAGGAAACTGAGGCCCAGGGAAGGAAGTGGTTTGCCCAAGGCCACATAGGATGCCAAGGGGCTATGGTTTAAGTTAGGTTAGAAGTCGGCCTCAGACCTACTACCCTAATGTCTGTTCCCTTCCCTCTCCGTTTCCCCCACAGTCGGACTCCGTCACATGCCCACTGGAAGTAGCATTGCTGTGGAAGGTGGGTGCAAGCGGTGGGCACCCTGGTGTGATCCGCTTGCTTGACTGGTTTGAGACACCCGAGGGCTTCATGCTGGTCCTTGAGCGTCCTTTGCCTGCCCAGGATCTCTTTGACTACATCACAGAACAGGGCCCGCTAGGTGAAGCCCGAAGCCGCTGTCTCTTTGCCCAGGTAGTGGCAGCTGTTCGGCACTGCCACGCCCGTGGAGTTGTCCACCGTGACATCAAAGATGAGAATATCCTGATAGACCTTCGCCGAGTCTGTGTCAAACTCATTGATTTTGGTTCCGGCGCCCTGCTTCATGATGAACCCTACACCGACTTTGATGGTAAGACTTCCTTCACTCTCAGTGAAGAGATTTTTTTTTTTTACCTTTTATCTTTATGGGCTCTTGACCTTTGCGGGGGAAGGGGTATCCTGTAATCCTTGATCTACATTGTACCTTATAAGGTTCTTGATTTTGAATATTGATGGTTTTCATGCCTTGCCCTCTGTTAAGTCCATCTTCTCACAGTGCCTTGACCTTGTTCCAGGTTCTTATCTGGTGAGGGGATTCTATTATCCTAACTGCTCTTATTGTGATGAGACCCTGCTGTTACACTTAAAGAATGCAATTGTGGTGACAGGAGCATATACTTGCTGGGGAGGGTGGGGTGGTAGAAGGGTATTATCAGAAAGTGGTCTAACCTCTGGCTTGTGTGCAGGAACAAGAGTGTACAGCCCCCCGGAGTGGATCTCTCGTAACCAGTACCATGCACTCCCGGCCACTGTCTGGTCACTGGGTATCCTTCTTTATGACATGGTGTGCGGGGACATTCCCTTTGAGAGGGACCAGGAGATTTTGGAGGCTGAGCTCCACTTCCCTGCCCACGTATCCCCAGGTGAGGCTCTCCCTGGCCCTAGTGCAGTGGACTCCATACCTCCCTGGGCCTGGTGCTCCTAACTAACTTACAACTTCCTGTGTGTTTCTGACCTGCAGATTGTTGTGCCCTAATCCGCCGGTGCCTGGCCCCCAAACCTTCTGCCCGACCTTCACTGGAGGAGATCCTGCTGGATCCCTGGATGCAGACACCAGCCGAGGATGCACCCCCCAATACCCCTAAAGGGGGTCCTACCCCTTTGGCCTGGTCCTTGCTGCCCTAGTTGGGAAAAGCTGTCCATGGCCATGCCACAAAGATAGAAGGACATCTGTTGACCTGGTTTTACAGGTTATTAAAAATCCAGTGTTACTAGGGTCAGAGATTGGGGATCTGGAATCAGAAAACATAAGCCAAGTTTGCCCAGTCCCCATCCCAATCCTGATAAGGAGCCTTCCTCCCAGAATTTATGGTTTTTATTCTGGAGGGAGGACTTCCTTGCTTCTTGTTTTGCTAAGGATGTTTATTTGGTTGAAGTTAATTCCATTTTGAGCCCCAGGACTCTTATTCTGATGTGTTAAACCCTTACACTGGCACCTCCTGCCTGCTACCACCACACAAACTTAGTTCAAATGCTCTAACTTGGGCAAGGGTGCTTTCCTTTTAAAACCCCAGTAGTTGTTATTTTAGTAAAGGGACTCTTTAGTCTAGGGTTCCATGTTAAGTCACACTGCTTGCCTACCTCAGCCCAGGGTTGCTTATTCTGGGGGAGGTAAAGCCCTATTGTTATCCCAGGGCTTTTTTTTTTTTACTTTTTGTTTGTTTTTGGTGAAGGGACCCTAATCTGTTATTCCAAGTGCTCTTATTCTGGTGAGGAGAAACCCTACTTCCAAGATTTGGGAAGGCACGGGAGATGGACACCACCAGAGTCCACTAGGATGGGGTGGATGGGTTTTGTGGGGGGTGGGGGAAATAAGTCTTGTTGTTTGTTATCCTGGGGCCTCCCCCTCCACCTTTTTTGGATTCTTGCTGCCTCCTTCTGAGCCAGGATTGTCCAGTTGCTGAAATGTAAATACTTGTGTATTGGGAGGAAAGGAGCTCCAACTGTGTCATCCTCTCCCTTTTCCACCTGCCTGGATTATTTAAAAAGCCATGTGTGGGAACTCACTATTTAATAAACATAATAGAATCACAAATGACTGACCAGTTGTCACAATGAAGCATCTGTGGAGCGTCTACTGCATGCTGAACCAAAAGGGAGATGGGGTAGGTAGGTTTCACCTCTAGAGGTCTCAGTCTTGTGGTGCTGTTTTGAAGATCTTTTATGTATTCATTTAAGCAGGACCACAAAGAAAAACTGTTGACAACATCCACTTCCTAGCTCTTGCTATGTGCAGGTCTCCACTGGACAGACATTGAAGATATTTGGCAGTCCTGGCTGGTGTAGCTCAGTGGATTGAGCAGGGGCCTGCGAACCGAAGGATTGTGATTAGATTCCCAGTCAGGGCACATGCCTGGGTTGCAGGCCAGTTCCCAGCAGGGGATGCACGAGAGGCAACCATACATTGATCTTTCTCTCCCTAACCTTTCCTCTCTAAAGATAAAACCTCAAAGGAAAAAGCTATTTGGGACACATCTCCAATTAAATATGGTTAGCTTGGGCAGAAAAATGCTTTTCCCCACGGAACCCTAGGGAGGAAGTTTCTTCACCGTGGACGAAGAGCCCTTTCAGGCTGTACTGGTGAGGGTGGGGCTAGGTTTGAGTGCACATGGGAATCTTCCCAGCCCTTGATGTGTAATAACTGGGGCGTAAGTTACTTGTTTTGCCTTTACCTTTTTGTTTCCATAGTCTCCTTAACTGCTTATCCCTCTCATCCTTTCTTAATTCTTGAGTTAACTGCTCTATCTGGTTTCACCTGTTCCCACCTTAGCTGTACCCTCTCTTACCCTGCTTTCAAAAACTAATCTGTAAGCCTCTCAGCCCACTGTCTTACAGTTCACTTCCCAATTCATTTCCATCTCGCTATTGGCTTATTTGTCCTCCCTTCTGTTTCAGTTAAACTTTTGTGACTTTTCATGTGTCTTTTCATTTTATCTGGTAGTTTACCTGCATGACCCTCACCTGTGCCGCCGCCTCGGGCGTTCTCTCCCAAAAGCCTACAAGCTCTCCAGGGGGTGGGGCCTCGACCGGAGAGGGCAAAGGAACTTTTGCCCAACCCGGAGACACCTAATTCTGATGCGGCAAGTGGGGGGTGCCATCAGAAGACCGTCCCAATAAGCAGTCGAGCTAGAAGCAGGGCAACTGAACCAATGAGACGAAAAGACGAGATGTGCGGGTGAAAGAGAAAGCGAGATCAATAGAGGGGGTGGGTCTAGTACCGGGGATAGGCCGAAGAGGCCATGCACTGATGGCGAGAGGCTCAGCCGGTTTCCCTAACCCGATGGAATCTGGAAACCGCGGGGCCGCTCATAATTTCGCATTGGGGAGCGGACAAGCAAAGCCTCTGCTCTGCTCTGGTCAGTCCATCCCACCTCACCCGGGCGGCAGGAAAACGGAAGTGACGGACACGGAAGTGGCCTGCTGTTGCAAGAGGGACGGGCCAGGCAGATGCCAACATGGCAGCGGTTGGATCTGGCGGTTCCACCGCGGCTACCGGGCCAGGGGCGGTCTCCACGGGGGCGTTGGAACCTGGGACCGTGAGTGCGGGTGAGACAGGCTGTAGACATGCTATCGCCGGCAGTGCAGGGTCAGGATCACTGGGGCCCATTAGGAAGGTTCCTCATTGAAGCGAGAGGCTGCATCCCATATGGACCGACCTATGTGTGTGTGGCAGGGGTGAGGGTGGGTGGGGGAGGAAAGACGGAACAGAATATTGTGAATGTGTGGGACAGGGTAGAGGCCAATTTTGAGGATGATGGGGATTCCCTTCCGCACACGGAAAGTAGACACGATTTTTATTCTAGAGGGATGTTTCCTCCTGGGGAGGCTAAGACCACTAAGACCATTCTGAGGGTGTGTGGGGTCCGACCTTATGGAAGTGAGAGACCATTCGCAGGGTGGGAGAGTTTCTCCTTATTGAAGGGAAAGGCTATTCCTGAGAGTGGTGGTGGTTTCTTCCTTATAAAGAGACAGGGACTATTATAAGTAGGGTGGGGTGGGTCCTTCCTTATGTGACTTAGAGCCCATTTTGAGGATAGGGTTGTCCTTCATTATACATGGGTAGATCATGCTGGGGGCGTCCCTTCCTAATGGGGATAAAGTTTATTATATGTTGGAGTCAGGGGGTCCTTCCTTATATGGCAGACAAAGAATGTTCTGAGGGTGCTGGGCTCTTCTTATAGTCAGAATTGTTCATTGTGTGAATAAAACAAGGAATAATCCTTGGTTGGAGGTAGAGGGATACTGCAGTTGGAGGACTGGACCATGTGGAGTATAGGGAAATATTTCCTTACATCTTGGAAGGAACCAGACCATTCTTGGGGTTCAGTCCTTGGGACAGCATGAGAATCATTTATTTGTTAGATCATTTTGGGTCAGAAGGAATCAATCCTCATATGAGGGGGGGATTGGAGAGATCATTCTGAGTGTAAGGGAATGAAATGTAAGGGAAACTTTCTTAGATGGGAGAAGCCTGTTTCTTAGGGGGTGGGCATGCTTTATACAGTGGTCTCTTTCCCTGTATTGGGGTATCATTCTTTACATGGAACACCCCCTCTTTCAATAGAAGCAACATTTCATATAAATCTTCAATTTGCTCATCCATAAAATGGGAATCCATATAGTTCTTTGGAGATCAGAGTGATATAGTGGTCCATTGAGGTAATTCATATAAATCCTTTAACCCAGTGATAGGCACACAGCAAGCACTCAATAAATGTTCAGAATGTAGTTGCTATTTTCTGGGGGAGAGTGGCTTCTCACTCAGGGAAGGTGGGTGTTCAGGGTTGGCCCCAGCCATTTCCTGACACTTAAGAAAGGATTCCAGCTATGGGCCCTGCCCACTTGTACCTTTCTGGCTCTTCTTCCTGTGACTGAAGCAGTGAAAGCAGGAGGAGTCAGATCATTATTGGGTCCAAGATGGGCAGGCAGAGGGAGGAGGAAGAAATGCTGGCTAAGAGGATCCTGGTTCATAAAGGAAAGGGGAGAGGAGTGGTTTGGCTATGCCCCAAGCAACTTCTTCCCCCTTCTTCCCCCTTCTTCCCCCTTGCTCCTTCCATTCCCCACAGCTCACCGGCGCCTCAAATATATATCCCTGGCCGTGCTGGTGGTCCAGAATGCCTCCCTCATCCTCAGCATCCGCTACACCCGCACACTACCTGGGGACCGTTTCTTTGCCACTACTGCTGTGGTCATGGCCGAGGTGCTCAAAGGTCTCACCTGCCTGCTGCTGCTCTTCGCACAGAAGAGGGGTATGAGCCAGGGAGGGGGGCTGGAGATGGTGGGTAGGATTCTGTGTGTGTGTATGTGTGTGTGTGTTGTACACCTGAACTCACATGGAGGGTTTGCTGGAGTAGTATTTTTGTGTCTGTGAAACTGCCTGGGAAATGTTTAAGTGCAGGTAAGCTGCCTTGTTCCTCCAGTGATGAGTAGCTGCATCCACACTTTTATACCCCAAACTCCCAGGGAGCTGGCCTGAGGAGACTTTACAAGTGAGAGAGTCTGTGCCCATAAGTAGCAGGTGCCCCTTACATGATGATTTATTTCTCTTTAACTTTTTATTGTGGAGAATTTCAAACCCTGAATCGGAGACAATGATAAAATAGTAAAATCTCCATGTACCCGTAACCCAGATTCAACAGTTGTCAACTCATGGCCACTCTGCCATTAAACAGCACCAGTGCTTATCCACTCACTGCCAATCTATATGTCTGCCTAGTTACCACCACCCCCCACTTTATTATATTGAAGTACAGTAAGTTCTCACTGTCAGTGGCTCAAAAACTTGAAATGAAACAATGTATAATGAAACCATTTTACTGTAGGTGACTTGATACAAATGAGTTAAGTTCCTAAGTATCTCATCAACAGTTATTACATAGTGACAATGAACAAAATAATGTTATTTGGGGAACTGCCCTATGTTCCACATGAAGTATTTTGAAGTAAATCCTCCTTATTTTGAATATATATTTAAAAGTTACTAAAATAATCGAATATCTAGTCAATGCCCAAATATTCTAGTGATTTTTCAAGTGTTGTAAATGTTTTTAAAATTTTGTTTGAATCAGCCCTGGCTGGTGTGGCTCAGTGAATTGAGCACTGGCTTGCAAACCGAAGGGTCACTGGTTCAGTTCCCTGCCAGGGCACATGCCTGGGTTGCAGGCCAGGTCCCCTGTTGGGAGCATGAGAGAGGAAACCAACTGATGTTCCTCTCACAGATTTCCCTCTCTTCCTCTCTCTAAAATTAAATTAAGAAATAAAATATTTTGAAAAAAAATTAAAAATAAAAAAATTTTGTTTGAATCAAGTTTTTTATTGAATTTCTTGGGGTCACATTGGTTCATAAAATTATATAGGTTTCAGGGGTACAATTCTCTATTACATCATCTGTATATTATATTGCGTGTTTACCACCCCAAATTAAGACTCTTACCATCACCATTTATCCCCCTCTTTCCCCTCTACTAACTCCCCCACCCCCTTTGCCTCTGCTTACCACATGGTTGTCTCTCTAGGAGGGTTTGTTTGTTTAATTTTTGCCTAACCATTTCACCTTTTTCACCCAGCCGCCTTGCCTCTTCCCCTCTGACAGCTGTCAGTCCGTTCTTTGTATCAGTGAGTGTTAGGATCAAATTTATGTCAAGATCGGTGTTTCGTAATTGGTTGATATCTTCTGGGTTTGTTAACCTCTGGGTTTGCCTCGTTTTTTTTCTTTCCCTGTAGTTAATTTGTTGAAGAAAATCAGGTCATTTGTCTTATAGACTTTGGGTAACCTGGATTTTGCTGACTGCCTCCCTATGGTGTCATTTAACATGTTCTTCTGTCCTCTGTATTTCTCATAGCTGCGTTCATCTACTGATTTAAATGCCTCCCTGAAGGCCGCCTTTAAAATGTTACCCATTCTTTTCTCTCTAAAGGCCTTGCATGTGGCTCTGCCCTCAGCACTTACATTGAACGAGACATTCTTACCCAATCATTAGCTCCAGGGCCCTGTGAGGCAGCAGTTGAGGAACCTACCCGCTCTGTTCTTGATTGACTCTGAGAGACTTCCTAGTGAACACTGCACGGCAGGCCCTGCTTTGGCTGTGGAGGTGGACGTGTTAGCAATGCAGACATGCATCTTGCCCTCGTAGGGCTGATAAGTTTAGATGGGGAGATACTTAGCTGCAGACTTAATCACAGGCTTTCAGTGCTTATCCGCAGCCCCCCTCCACACACACACACACACACCATTTTTCTATTTCTTTGTTTGATAGTAAAACTTGGCCTAACCTGATGTGGGGCTATTTATATATGTGTTTTTTTATCTTTCTCATTTTGTGGGAATATCAATGTACTTGATTATGGTGTGTAGCCCATATATGTGGGGCGTTATGTGTAATATACACATTTCATACAACATAACATGGTGTATATATACCACGTTACCTTCCTAACACCTGGAAAATTTTGAACACCCAAACCCCTGGGCCTAAGAAATTTGGGTAAGGGGTTAGATATTGATAATTACTCCTGTGATTAATGCCATGAAAATCAAGGACAGGGTTCGTAACTGAGTATCAACAGTTCCTGTGATACACTTGTGCAGTAATTGGGTTTTCCCCGAGAAGCGACACTGAACTGCAAAAAAAAAAAAAAAAGTAGGCTTCGCAAAGGCCTTATAGGAAAGTATTTTCATTTATTGATTGGAGCAAGTCCCAACTACTCTTCCTGCTTAACCCTGCAGAGGTCACAGTCAAAAAAAATTACAGTGTAGGTCATGTGTATGCAAGAGATACCTTCATTACTATTATGTGCTAAAATGTGGGGGGGGATTAAACACTGCAAATTAGCATTTATTATATTTATATAACAAAATACATGATTTTTGTTTTCAGTTACAATCTAAAAATTATTAAAGAAACATCAAAGAATAAATTTTTCTTCTTAAATAATTGAAACATGCATATTGCTATAAAATACAACCAAAATGTCTTTTAAGATTAATCAGAATATTCAATAATTGGCTTTGCAAAATGTTCGTAACAGTCATTGCAAACAATATTGCTATACTGAAGGCATAAAAGCTTTTTGCAGCACTTGCGACAATATTTCAATAAGCAGCTTGTTTGGGAAGGCATAGAACCTGGTATGTGTTATAACCAAACTGACGAGTTGAACATTATGGCTTATACTTATTAGTCACATACAAATGCGCAGCTAGTCGTGAGCTTGAATCTATGCACCCAATGTATGTAACAGCATTTAAGAGTTTGTATATCTCAGGATATACAAACTGAGATATATCAGCTGAGACCTCCACAGGATTAGTAGTCAAGCCTGTATATTTCCAAGTGGCAGGGGCAACTCTTTGGTGTGTGTAGGACTGACAGATTCAGCCAAGTGCGAGGTGGCCCTTGGCGCACCTCGGAGGTCGATAAGGAGCTAGGTTAAGTCTACAAGTAGGATCTGAAACTTCCCCTGTTGGGTATATGGCCTTCTCCCTACACTCTTTGGGCTTCTGCTTCACAAGAGTCTGTCTAGTTAATACTAATCGTGCAAATGTGTATTGAGTGCTTGCCCCGAATGGGGCTCTATGCCAGTCGGCTGTAAGATGAGTGAGATGTGATCTGTGACCCTCAGACACAGCAAGTCCAGTGTTAATGGACCTCTGTGTTTATTAGGCTGAGTATCCCAAAAGCCTGCTGCCTACTGGAGGTGTGCTTATACTGTAGGGAGACGGAGAGTGCAGACTTCATCCCAGCCCTCAGGAAGTCTGAGTGTGGTGGGAGACACAGGTCCAGGCCCAGACCCAGCCCTCAGAGGATCCCTATCTTTGGTAGTCAGTGCTAAAAAGGGCTCTCCTCCACCCACCAAAGGTAACGTGAAGCACCTGGTCCTTTTCCTCCACGAGGCTGTCCTGGTGCAATATGTGGACACATTCAAGCTTGCAGTGCCCTCTCTCATCTACACCTTGCAGAATAACCTCCAGTATGTTGCCATCTCCAACCTGCCAGCTGCCACTTTCCAGGTGAGCCCCAAGCCCAGCATGGCCCCGGAGGAACTGGCTGGGGTGGGAGGTGGGGCTGCCGAGAGCAGGAGCTTTATCACTTTTGGAATATCCTTGCAACTTCCCCGACCTCTGTTTCCTCATCTGTGAGAAATGGGAATGGAAATGGGAATAACTATTCACTGGGATGCTGAGATGATTAAAAGATACGACAGCCGGGAAGAGCCCTTGGTTGGCAAGAGATGAGCTTTGGGCTATTTGCAGGCAGCCTCGTGAGTTGGTTCAAGCCTGAATCCTGGGGCCAGGCTATCCGGGTTCCAATCCCAGCTCTGCTATTTTCCAGCTGTGTGATGTATGATATTGGGCAAGTCACTTAACCTCCCTGTTTACTTAGTTTTCTCAGCTTCAAATTAGGCATTAAAGTAGTGCACACTTCACCCATGAGGATTAAACAAGAACTCACATGATGTGCTTAGACCCACACCCAGCACATCGTTTGCTGACATTGTGTGGCTGACTCATTTGTGTTAACAGGTATCGATCAAGAGCTCCCTCATCATGATGTTTATCATTCATTCATTCCCTAGTGTGTGAGGCGTTTGCCATATGCCAGCTGTATTTACAGCAGACGATGTCAGGGCTCAGACATGGCAGGTGCCTTCTCCCTCATCACACAGCCAGGAAATGGGGTTGGGATGTAGGCCTGAGTGTGGCCCAGGATTTCCTTGTACAGTCAGCCTCCCGTGTGCCATCCGGGAGATCCCTCAGAGCTATTTAGCTCCTTCTCAGTCAATGGTCAGTGGCTAGAGATTTTTGTTTTTGTCATCTACCCTACCCTGTCCCCCCATCGTGCCTGAGGGCCCGTAGTGGGTGGGTGCCGTGCCCCATGTGCACACGTTGGGCAGCAGCCGCAGCCCTCAGCACCTTCCATATCCACTTGCAGGTGACATACCAGCTGAAGATCTTGACCACGGCCCTGTTCTCCGTGCTCATGCTGAACCGCAGCCTTTCCCGGCTACAGTGGGTCTCCCTGCTGCTCCTCTTCACGGGTGTCGCCCTTGTCCAGGCACAGCAAGCCAGTGGTGGGGACCCACGGCTGCTCAATCAGAACCCTGGGGTTGGCCTAGCAGCTGTCGTGGCCTCCTGTCTCTCCTCGGGCTTCGCAGGTGTCTACTTTGAGAAGATCCTCAAAGGCAGCTCAGGCTCCGTGTGGCTGCGCAACCTGCAACTGGGCCTCTTCGGCACAACGCTGGGCCTGGTGGGGCTCTGGTGGGCCGAGGGCACTGCAGTGGCCCACCGTGGCTTCTTTTTTGGGTACACGCCTGCTGTCTGGGGCGTGGTGCTCAACCAGGCCTTTGGCGGGCTACTGGTGGCTGTCGTTGTCAAATACGCTGACAACATCCTTAAGGGCTTTGCCACCTCCCTGTCCATCGTGCTGTCCACTGTTGCCTCCATCCGCCTCTTTGGCTTCCACGTGGACCCACTGTTCGCCCTTGGCGCTGGGCTGGTCATTGGCGCCGTCTACCTCTACAGCCTTCCCCGAGGTGCAGCCAAAGCCATAGCTTCCACTTCCACCTCTGCCTCCGGGCCCTGCACTCACCAGCAGCCTCCTGGGCAGCCACCACCACCGCAGCTACCTTCCCACCGAGGAGACCTCAGCACGGAGCCCTTTCTGCCAAAGTCAGTGCTGGTGAAGTGAGGGCTGGCAGCAGCTCGGGGAGACAGGGAGGGGGACTGGGTGGAGGGTGTTGGGCATCTCGCAGGACCCATCTGCCACTGGGGCCTGGCTCCTCTGGGGTTGGAAATCTTTTTCTCCCAGGTCATTGAGACAAACACAGGGGCGTGGGGCTGGGCAGGCATTACACGAAACCTTCCTTGTCCACTGACCGCCCCCACCTCCCCTGGAGGGACTTTTAGAGCCACCTCCTCTGCCTCAGGCTAACCACCTTGAGGACCAGGTTGGGGTATCATCATTTAAGGCCTTTTGTCTGTCCTGCCCCCTTCCTCCCCCCTCAGCCGGAGGGGTCCTGTCTCATGCCTGAGAGAGTCCCTCCCGGCAATCCCGCCACCTTTGTCAGGACAACATGGACAAAAACCCTACAGCTCTTTCATGACTGATGCCTAACCTGTGGGGTTCCGTTTCCCACAGCTCTAGGCCCCTCCCTCACTACCGCACTGGATCATGTTAGCAGCTGTCTGTCTATGGCCTTCAGGCAGCTTCCCTGACACAGAGACCCCTGAACACGGGCCTGTCGTGAGCACCCAGGGAGAGAAAGAGGCAAGAGCTGAGATTTTTGCTGGTTCAAAATCAAGGGACTATTTGGTTTTTAGTGATTTGGGGAATTGTGTAATCAGGTCATTGATGATCCAGGGTGTGGGGGCAAAGCAGGGAGGGAGGGCCTTAAAGTAGCTGAATCTCACTGAATCGAAGACACTGTCTGTCAGTTGCCAGATGCAGGGTTATTTTCTGAGACATCCTGAGAGAAAAAAATAAAGCTGCCAACCACTCTTGCTACCCCACTGGCTGAATGAGGCACCCTTACTTCCTTACTCCATGGGGGGGGGTGCCTTAATGTTGCTGAAATATGGAACCTGCCGTATGCACTCCTCAAAGCTTATTAACTAACCCCTTAACTGTCTCCTGGGGAGGGGGGTGTACGCGTGCATGGGAGATGCCTGGGCTGTCTTTGCTATGTGTAAATAGGGTCATTGGATCTTTATTTTTGATTAACTTGTTGCAGTTTTTTTCTGTTTGTTTTCTAAGGAACTGTAATGAACAAATGTCAGGATACCTAATGCCAAATAAAGATATTGTATTTATTTAGTCCATGTGTAGCTTTCTGACCCAGGGGACCTGCTCTCTACACATGGGCTCTCTTACTAACCCTAGGATTACCAGCCTCGCTACTGATGCCCTCTGCCCTCGCTTGCTCAGGATGAATGCCTGCCAGCCCACCCCAGCTTTGTGTGTTTTTCTTTCCTCCCCATGTCCACCACAGGTTGCTCACCAAGGTGAAGGGTTCGTAGCCGCTGGGATTGAAGACGCTGGCCTGGCCTCATTCTCCCTTCTTGCCCTGGCCCAGCCGGGACCAAGCTCTGATCAGTATTATGGGTGGGGGGAGGCAGACACTGATGCCCCGTACCTACCCCACCCCACCCCCCCACAGGGCTGACATGAGTAAACTCTCTGCTAAGGAGGCCCAGATAGGACTCACCTCAGCCTTCCAGCCTGCTGCTCTCATGTCCCTATAGTTTTTAGATGAGGTTTTGCAAATAAAACTGTTTTGCATCTTGCCTCCTTGGGTTGGAAAGCCTCAAAAATACAAAGGAAGAAAGCACTCTGGCCTGGTGGGAATGACCCACTGAAAAGATTTTATTGAAGACCCACTAGGGTTCAGTCCTGCTGCTTGGTTCGAGAGGCCTCGGCGTTGGCGCGTAGCACGGCCCCTGGGGATGGATAAGGGCGCTGCTGGAAGAGGGGCCCAGCGGCTGTCGTGTCTGCACCGGTCTTCGCCTCGTTCCGCTTGGGGAGTCCTGTTGACCATGTGCCCCTGGGGATGACAGAGGGTCAGGGGGTGGGATGTGGCAGCCCCCCTCACAAACACACAGACAAATAACTAATGAGTCAGTGAAGGAGATAGTGAGGCAGAAAGGAATGGTCAGTGCAGGAAGTCCAGGAAAGAGAAGGGCTCATGGGGGCGTGTCACTTACCGGGGTGCATCTGAGTACGAGCTGGGGTCCATAGGGTCTAATTCTTCATCCTTCCGGCTTGCAACTGTAGAAGGAGGTGGCAGAGCAAGGTGTACAACGGAGGCACACGAAGCTCCTGATCACTGAGCTTCCCCCGTCAGAAGAAATGGAGCCCATAGGTGCCATGGCTGCACCACCTTCTCCCAGGCCCCAGATTCAGACAATTGCACGAAGGGAAGTGAGGCCTTCTATACACTGTTCCCCCCAGTGCCTTGCTGCCTTACCCCAGTCGTGGCCCTGCTCAGCTTACCCTTCTTGCTCTTGGGGTAGGGAGCTAGCTCCTCCCGGCGATGGTGGCGCCGTTCTTTGCTCTCTTCTCTCTCCACCTTGTCATATCCACGGTCCCGGTCCCGATCCCTGTCCCGTTCTCTCTCTCTGTCCACCTTCTCATAACCACGCTCTCGGTCTCTATCTGACTTCTCGTGGCTCCGGTCTGACTTCTCATGGCTCCGGTCTGACTTCTCGTGACTCCGGTCCGATTTCTCGTGGCTCCGGTCCAACTTCTCCTCAGCATCTGGCCACATGAAACCTCTGAAGTGACCTTCTTCCTCCTACCTCAGGACCCAGTAGCCTTCACCTCTGACAGCCTCTCTTGCCTGGGGCTGGATCTGCCTGTCTCACCTGCCCCTCCTGGACCCACTATCATTTACAGAGCTCTTTCTAAGAACTGCAAGAAGCACTTGTGGCACCCTTGGACCTGCCTTACTCACCTGCATTACTGCTCCTGGGCTTCTTGACAGATTTGGTAATGATGGAGTTGGAGTCATGTGGGGAGAGCCAGGACACGAGGTCTGTTTCCACATTCCAGTAGTAAGGGAGCCCGCTACAAGGCAGGAGAGGGAGAGAAGCAGTATCGGCATAGATGTCCTCTCCTTGTAGCCTCAACTGCTCCCCAATCTCTGCCTATACCTACCCATATCAGGACCCCCCCCAAGGAGGACCCCATATTCCTTCCCTTGTGTCCCCCATTTCCCCAAGGCCAGGGACAGCACAGGAAGGGTAAAGTCGGAAGTCAGCTTCCCCCGGCCCCCAACCCCATGGTCCCCAGGCTTACCAGGAAGGGTCAAACACCTTGTACCAGCTTGGTGGCAGGCCCTCCAACCGGGTGGCCTCATAGTCCACGGGATCATCATCGTAGTCCTCAGCAATAATCTCTTCCTCTGGCTCTGCCGGGACAGGCAGAGGAGAGAAGTAAGGATAGGGGACGCTCATCCTACACTTTGGGAACGGAGAGATGCTCACGTTCACATGGACACACGAGTGTGCCAGGTCTCACCAGCTATGGCACATAATGGTCACATTCCAAGTCCTAGCATCTAAGGTAGTGAACTTACAAAAACATGTACCTAAATCCATCCTGTTCTGGGTTCAGTGAAGATACACTATTACCCAAGCCTATCTGGTTTCTGGTTTAGATAGACATTTATCCACATTCCCGAAGTTCCTGAATTTAGGGAGTAGGTAACAGCACACTACAAAAATCTATTTGGCTAAAATGAGTTTAAACAGAAAGCGGTCTGTCTGAAAATATCCAAACCTATTCAGCTCCCAAGCTTGGCAACGGGGGGTTTCTGACTCCTGTATTTTGTGTAGCAAGAATCTGGATAGCGAGGGATTTATCCAAACACTGCTCTGAATCCATTCAGTTCCGGAAGCCTGATGCATACAGCTGTCAGTTGATATCGATATAATAAAAAGGCGTATATTGTCAGCTCAGCACCAGGCCCTCAGTAGGCCTGTCGTGGATTTTAGCTGTGGATATAACTAACCATGAAATGTGTATGTCAGCAACAGCACAATGCCTTTCACATCTGTAGGCCCAAAAGAGATGTCAGCTATAATCATCACTACTGTTATTTAGATATATACCAGCAGAAAAAATATTATGTGCACAGGGCCTGGCACCTAAGAGGCTTAACATAAATATCAATAACCACAATCAGTATCAACCACATGAGGAATGCCTGGCACACATTAGGCCTGTAATAAATGTCACTTATTAATAAGATGGAAATAAGATGCATTTTCTAGTACTTGGCACACTGTAGCCCAAAACAGATGCCTTTTGACAATAAGGTGTAAATATTACCATCCAGCACAATGGGCCTAAATAATAGGTCCTGTCATTTTTTTTAAGATTTTATTTATTCATTTTTAGAGAAAGGGGAAGAGAAGGAGAGAAATATCAAGGTGTGGTTGTCTCTCATGCACCCCGTACTGGGGGACCTGGCCCACAACCCAGGCATGTACCCTGACTGGGAATCGAACTGGTGACCCTTTGGTTTGCAGCCCACACTCAATCCACTGAGCTACCAGCCAGGGCCTCGTTTTTTATATTGTCAACCATAATGTATATCCAGGTACTTTGTACTATGAAAATACATGTCAGCAACTGACATCGTGAACATCACCGGCACAGTGCCTGGCGCCACAATAGGTCTGAAAAATGTTACCTAACAGTATGAGAAAGAACACAGTATCAGCCCAGCCAGTGTGGCTCAGTTGATTGGACATCGTCCTTCAAACCAAGATTACCTGTTGGATTCCTGGTCAGGGCACATGCCTAGGTTGCAGGCTCTGTGCTCTGCTCCTGTCAGGGCACTTTCAGAAGGCAAAGGTAACCAATCAATGTTTCTCCCTCACATAGATGTTTTTCTTCCTCCCTTCCCCTTTCTCTAAAATAAAATACAAAATTAAAAAAAAAGTATCAGTATGAGCATCCTGCCACTGTCCTAGGCCCACAGAAGACTGCCACAGATGACAGCTATCCTCACTCTTACTCTGTAATCACTTCTATGAATGGATGGACTGAATCCCGCATACAGCAGGCCCAAATAGGTATCAGCTGTCAATATTAAGGATGAAATGTCAATCTCCCCTGGGGCCCCTCCCCCAACCTATGCTTGGCACCCAGTAGGAACGGGCGTCAGAAATCCATATGGTTAACCATGAAATGCTTGCCACTCCACTGCTTGCTGCACAGTAGGCCCACGCTCCCTATCAAGTGGCAGTATCAACAAAGTGCCAGTCAAGCCTGGCACGTGGTAGGCCCATCTGCTCTAGATCTCTTACCAGGCTCCAGGTGTTTGAGGATGCCTCTCTTGGCCAAGCGAGTCTGCAGCGCAACTGGCAGCGGCATAGCGAGTAGCACACAGACCTAGGGACGGATGGACAGACTGAAAACCAGCTCAGATGGAAATCTGACTTTGGATCCTGTAATCAAGCGCCCCCCTCCCCCGCCATGTGCTAATATGGACCCCCACGTCCCATACTTGCACCAGTAGCTGGGCTGAGGAAAGCTGCGCTAAAAGGTGGGGGAAAATAGGTGGCAACCAAAACTCTTACCAAACGTATGCAGGACAGGAGCTCCAGAACCCAGTTCCTCTCCAAGGCCTAGGCTCCACCCACCGCTGAAGGGTTCTAACTGGGCTCCCCCACGCCCTACAAATGGGCTCACCCAGCGTCCTCCAAAGACTGCCAGGTGGGAGCAACCAAAGGGCTACGATGGGGGTTCACAGTGTAGTACCTCCTCCAGTTTCAATAAATGCACTCCCCCCGCCGCAACATTACCAATATTCACGCGGGTAATAGAAGTTGTCAGACTGGTCGCCTCACTGTCGTCACCGCTAGAAACACCAGGACCACACGACAATTTCCCTCCACAGCACAGAAAGAATTCTCCGGACCCCAAGACTTGAAATAACTAACTGGGTGACGCTCAGGCTGCGAAAACAGAGGACATATCCAGGGTAGCCAATGAGAGTGTAGTGTAAGCCTGACGTAGGACGCAGCAACCTAATTGTGGCCGTGGGATAGGTGGGAGTTCGAAAGTCTCTGTGCGTGTACGGTGTGGGCGTGGCCCAGCCGGGGCTGAGGCCGACTCCGGGGCTTAGGCAGACGCCGGCGCCATGGAGGAGTACGCTCGGGAGCCCTGGTACGGCGATGGGCACAGGCCTCGGGACTGTCCCTGCGGCACCATGGCCAGCTGTGGGAGGCGGGCGGGAGAGGCAGTGGCTCCAAATCGCCATGGCCCCGACTCCAGAGACGCTTAGTTGTGTCTTTACGCTCTCCTCCACTTGTTCCCTCCCACTTGGGCTCCGTTAAGAGGGGCTACAACTGTGTGCCTGGCGAAGGTGCAGTGTAGGACGAACCATTCCACGTTTCCCCTGACTCATCTCCCAGCCCGTCTTTGTTAAAGAAAACGGACGCTGGTCGAATCCATTTTCGCCAAGGGGTGGCGCGGTGTTAAACGGAAATCCCCAGGGTTACCACGCTTGGTTTTTCCCTGGTTGCTCTAGTGAATGGGGGCGGGGCCTGGATGAGCCTATTGTGAGCAAGGAGGTGGTGCTGGGTCTTCCCCAAGGCCCGCTCTTGGTTTTTCCCAGTTATGCTAGGCGAAAAGAGAGGAAAGAGGGCGGGGCGCGGTTGGACGTGCTCAGTAGCGGAGAAGGGGGTGCGACTCTCCCTGCTTTAATAACAGTACCAGCCAGTTAACACTGTGTAGTGATTATCGGAAGGTGACAACTCTTTGTACATATCAGTTCATTTAATCTTTGATAGTAAAACGGTCGGCTGATTCCGTGTTTAGCTGCAAAGGGGAGGGGCAGAGGGCAAAGAGGAATATTTTTTCCTCTTCGCACTCTTACCTGCTTAAATGAAGGGGAAAATAATCGCCATCTGAAAGGCTACTTCCCATTCAGGTGACTTGGTTTCTCCCAATTGGAAAGTGGCCTTGTGGCGTGGAACGGGGGAGGGTTCGCATTAACTCCATCCTCCCCTTTACATTGCAGCCCATGGCGAATTGTGGATGATTGTGGTGGAGCCTTCACTATGGGTGTCATCGGTGGCGGAGTCTTCCAAGCCATCAAGGGCTTCCGCAATGCCCCTGTTGTGAGTCCTGGCCTTCCCTGGGTGTGGTGCTGGGGTCCTGTCCTGTCAGCACGGGATACTGCTCTGAAAACTGCTTGGAGCTGCCAGTTACATGCACTTAATCATTCTGGTGCCACCTTGTCTTCTATGTGCTAGGCGTGACACCAGGATATGGGGTTTTGGGGAACTGAAAACAGAGCCTCTGTACCTCACCCCAAACCCAACTGGAGCGCCTCTGTGGAAATGCTGCAGTGGAAACAGTCATCTCTGTCCGTGTAAAGACTTCCAAACTCGTAGAAAAATTTTATAAAAGTTCATTAGAGTTTATTTGAGCCAAATAGAGGACCTGCCTGGAAGCAATATCTCAACAAATTGAGAAAAATGCTTCCCAGAATGACAGTTTATAGTTTTATACATGTGGAATTAAGGAGTAAACATAAGGAAGATTATGTGAAGTGGGAGAAAGCAAAGCAGGGAAATCTCTCTGATTGGACTGCAGGACAGTTAAGATTATGTGCTCTCTTGAGAGTGATTACACTTCTGAAGGTTTCAAAGGTGTATTGACCTAGATGCACAAAAGCAATGAACAGGGCTTGCTTAAGGCAAAGATAACCTTTTACTAGGGAAGTTATGGGCCTGAGTAGTGACTACTTACCATGACGTCCAGTTAGGAATTTATGATCAGGTGTCACTCTGCGTGGTTACTTTCAGTGGAATTTCTTTTTTCTCAGGTAGAATTCTAAGAGCAGTTTTATAATCTCTTCTCTGGGTTTAATGGAGACTCACTTTACCCTTCTGTACTATCCTCTCAGGGCATGTGTCAGTCTTGAAAAGGCACAAGAAAGGGTGTCAGATTTTGTTACAGACCCCTTTTTCTGTCCAGATCACCAAATACCATATGTGTGTGCAGAGTCAGATTTTACCTATAGGCAGATTCGGGGTCAGAAACCTGTATAAAGGGGGAGCGACAAGAGTTTAACTGGCAGAAGGAAGACAGCCTTACAGTTAAGAAAATGTTTTTAATTTAACATCAATTCTGTCTCTTTCTCTGACACTACCCCCCCTCACTGGAGATCTCATCAAATGCCAAACTTTGAATATCATCCATTCACCAAGGGATCTGCAATTCCCTCAACTCCTATAACGCTCTTTCCTGGATCTTTACCCAAGTTTCTCCCTTTCATCCTCAAGGTCTCATTACATATGCCCCCTCCTTAAAGAGGTCTTTTCTTATCTCTCCACCACTATCGTATCTCTTTATTCTAGTTCCTCTGGGGTGCATATTGCTGTCCGAAGCTGTCTTGCTTAACTGTACCCTTCCTCTCTATGTCTCTGTCCCAATATACTGTGAGCTATGAGAGTGCAAGGGCCAGGTCTACCTCTCCCACTGCTCTATGCCTGCATACAGCATGGTGCCTGGCACACAGGTGCTCAGTAATCACTGAATGAATGGAAGGGCAGATAAATGGATAAGAATGTCTCAACCCAACTTTGAGAATACTTATGTTGGGGTGCTTCCAGGCCCCTTAATTCTTGGCTGCTTCTTCACAGCTTTACTCCTGAATACCCCTAACAGGATTCCCACCCACTTCCCCCTCTGAAGAGCTAAAAACCCTGACTGACCTCAGCCCTGCTCTGACTCTCCTACTCTTCACTTTCCCCAGGGAATTCGGCACCGATTGAGAGGTAGTGTCAACGCAGTGAGGATCCGAGCCCCTCAGATTGGAGGTGAGAGGCTTGGGGAGACATAGGAGATGTGATGGCAAAGTTGGCGGTGGTTGTTGCTTTGGGTCTAGTCTGCAAGTTGTAGGTCCACATTCGAGCCCCAACTCTGCATGGGACTTCCTGGGAGGGTTGACATTTCCCAACAAGTTAATATGGATGAGTTCTGGAATTTAATCCAGACCCTGGCTCTTCTCTGATGTGACCTTGGGACAGTGGCTTAACCTCTCCGAACTTCATCTGTAACATGGGGATGACAATAGCAGTAACCACCCCATTTTGCAATTTATGTAATTTACATAGTATTTACTAAGTGCCTGTTGCTCTACTGTGCACTTTAATGACATTAACTAATTTAAAATTTCAGAAGCCAAATAACCTGCAGTACCTAGATCAGGTCCCGGGACCCAGTAAGGCCCCAGTAAACATTTTAACTAGCATATTGTTAACTGGCTTTCCTAACCTTTTTCTTTCTCATTGAAACCAAGATCAGAATGCCAACTCTATGTGGTGGTTTATGAAGGCAAAAGGTACTCCGTTAAAAGCCAGTAGAGCCCTGACCGATATGATTCAGTTGGTTGGGGGTTGCCCCACAAAGTGAAGAGTGGCAGATTCGATTCCTGGTCAGGGCACATGCCTGAGTTGTGGGTTTGGTCCTGGACAGGGCGAGTATGAGAGGTAACTGATTGATGTTTCTCTCCTTCTCTTTCTCCTTCCCTTCCTCTCTTCCTAAAAATTTAAAATAAAATTACAACAAAGCCATATAGAAGGTAAATGTGCTTATAAACTCGAGCTGTGGATGCTTGGGATCCCCCGGGAACGCTAATGAGGCCTCTCTACCCCTGCAGGTAGTTTTGCAGTGTGGGGAGGCCTGTTCTCCACCATTGACTGTGGCCTGGTGCAGCTGCGGGGCAAGGAGGATCCCTGGAACTCCATCACCAGCGGAGCGCTGACCGGGGCTGTGCTGGCTGCTCGCAGTGAGTGCCCCCAGCCCTGGCCCCAACCCCTTCCACTCTGTTTTGCCAGCCCTCAGCTCTCTCTTCCTGCCTCCTTGCTCCTCCAGGTGGCCCACTAGCCATGATGGGCTCGGCAATGATGGGGGGCATCCTGTTGGCCCTCATCGAGGGCGTTGGTATCCTCCTCACTCGCTACACTGCCCAGCAGTTCCGCAATGGTGAGTATCTGGTAAAGTTGGTCAGGAAGAGGTGGGAAATGCCCTGCCTGGCCTCCTCTGCTCACCTTTGCTTGATTCTCCCCTCTCCAGCACCCCCGTTCCTGGAGGACCCCAGCCAGCTGCCCCCTAAGGAGGGTACCCCGGCCTCAGGCTATCCCGGCTATCAGCAGTACCACTGAGGAAGTGACCACCTGTCACCACCATCGTGGGAGCTCCTCCTCCGTTCCCCTCCCCGATGATCTACCTCGAAGGGAGGGCTGGCTCCCACTTGGCCCTGGGACCCTCCAGAGAGGGCCTCTACTCTCTTTGTTCCCTGTCCCAGGGTGGGCGTGGGGCACCCCAGCTACCCTGATGGATGGGTCCCCTTCCTTCAGGGCACCCCAGCCCCACACTCACATGTAACAAGCTCTCACCCAACCCCTTCCTGTGGCTCCCTGATGAGTATTTAAAGCTGGTTTTGAAATGCCTTTGTATGTACTCATTAAGCCACCGGTGGGATGTCCTCCTTGAGGTAAGAGGCAGGGCCCTCTTCGGCAATTCAGAAGCCCTAAGATTTGGAGTTACACAGAGTGGGCCTTAGTGAATATAGGGTGAATGACGAAGAGGGGAAATGAATCAAGATGTTAATAGATACATGAATAAGCATGTGTGGGGGCCAAGTGATGAATCATAAGTACATAGAGGAATAGGCTTGGGAGAAGTGAGGGAACACAAGGATTGCTGGGGTTGAGGGAGTGGTTTTGCACACGGCACCCCGAACCCTCCCTCCCAGGCCCCCATTGCCAAGGCTGGGAAATCTGAACCCGAAACGAACTCTGTGGTTCTAGATACCATTGGTGTGAAGATAACCCCCTCCACACGGCCTCAGCAAGGACCTGGGAAGAAGGAAAGGTCAGGGAGACCTGGCTTCCTCGAAGAAGGGCCCTGTGTTAGTCTCCTCTTCTGTGCCACAGAAACACTCTGCTCCGCCATACTCCATGTTGTCAGTGTTTTTTAGGGGGAACTACAAAATAACCAGAAACAAGTTTTCATTTTGGGCCCAGGGGGGCGGGTGGCAGGTAATGAGAAAATTTTTTCTGGATGGACTTGCCTCCAGATGCTGTCTCTTCTATGTAACCCCCCCCCACCATGGGTGAGGCAAGCATTGTCTCTGAGGTGCAAGTGCCCCAGTGCAAATAGCCTCATAGGAGACATAAAAGCTGTCCCTTTGTGCAGGCCATCACAAAGGGGTGGAAATGGCCTCATATGAAGTCGCTCCCTGGAGGTGCAAATATTAAGTCCCCAGGCCGCTTAAGGCTTCAGCAGGGAGCCAGTGGTTGGTTCTCAGCAGTGGCAGGACTGCAGTACTGTATGCTTGATTGACTCGATGCCAGGAAGAGCCCGTCATCCCAGTGAAGACTGGCTAGGGAGGGTAGGTGTGGGTAGTAGGCACTGTGCACACAGCTTTCTTGGCCTCAGCAGGGCCCCAGCCTCAAACTCATGGCTGGCTCTGCACACAGGTCTGTGAAGGACCGAGGTCCCAGTTAGACCCAGGGTGTCTTGGGCTGTGGCCCTTATATTTCTGGGCCACTTCCTTTGGTCCCTCCTCTTCTGTACATCTAGGCCCCGGCCTTCCTCAGCTCTAGCCACTTTCTCCAGACCACACCCTGATCCTTCCAAACACTGTTCCATTAGGTCTCAGACTTTCCATCCCAGGAGTCCTCAAGTCCCTCCCAAGCTGCTGTCATTCCAACAGACCCTTGTCTATTCCGGCTCCACTCCCTTCCTTTCGAGCTGGCCCCCCCTAAGCTTCCAGCAGACCCTACTCCTTCATAAACCAACCCAGGCTCCTCTGAGGCCTAGTCCCTACTTTATCTCTTTGGTGTGCTCCACATGGACTCCTCCCCCCACAGCCCCTTAGGGAGAGCCGGAGAGCTCTGTGCCTCTAGACCTCTGCAACTTCAGTCCCTGCTCTCTCCCCTCTGCCACCCCTTCAGGCAATCCCAAACCCTAGGTCCTCGGGCCACCACCTCCTAGCTGGTGCTGGGGTCCTCAGGCCCTGCCCTCCCCCCCCCGCCTGCCCCATGACCAAATGGTTGGCCCACTTCCCTTCCCAAAACGAGGGATGTGGGCTCAGACCCCTGGTGGTTTTCACGGGCAGGGACTTAAGATAATGGGAGAAGGCGGGAGTGAAGCAGAAACAGATGAAGAAAGAAAGAGGAACTGGAGAGACGCATAGGGTTATAGAGACATTAATGGAGATGCACGAAAACATGCGGGCAAAAACAAGGGATAAGTGAAAAGGGAGACGAGAAAGGGCAAAGTCTCTTACAGAGACTAAGAGAAATAGGAAGACAGTGTGGAGGTAAAAAATACAGGTATAGCCCTGGCTGGGTAGCTCGGTTAAGAGTGATCCTTGATATGCCAAGGTTGCAGGTTCCATCCCTGGTCAGGGCCATAGGAGAATCAACCAGAGAGTGCATCAGTAAGGGGAATGACACGTCAATGTGTCTCTCTTGCCACCTCCCCACCCCTCTTTCTAAAAATCAATCAATAAAAAGAAAGGTATGGCCAGTGGGAGGGACTCCGGAGTGAGATGGAGCAAACACAGGAGTGAAGGAGAGGTGGCATTGTAGAGTTGTGAGCTGGACTGGGGCTATCCTGCCAGAGACTTCCAGGCCAGGCCTCCTCAGACTATCTGCCCACTTAACCTCTGGCTGAAGGGCCTCAGAAAGGCAGAGAGATGCCAACCTGTATTCTTGCATCCTCTCTCTCTCTCTCATCCCTAATTTAATCCCATCTTCTTCTAATAAGGATTTCGGCTGCTCTCATCCAGGTTCTTCCTTCCCGTTTTCTCCCGACCTTATCCCTTTCTATCTTGATCTCAGTCTTTCCCCATTTTTTTCCTTTGATCTCCTTGGCTGGTGTCTGTCTTTCCCTGTGGTCTATGGGTTTGCCATAAACCTGTCCACATGGTTTGCAGAGGTGGACAGATTCAGGGGCGAACAGGGAGTCCGGCCGGAGCAGGAGGTGGGGAAATCCCCCTACCCCTTTCCTCAGGCAGAGGCCCTGCGAGGGTGGGAAGAGAGACTTGGAGAAATCAAAGACAAGCAGAGAGAGAGAGACAAAGATACCAAGAGAGCCCTGGCTGGTGTAGCTCAGTGGATTGAGCGCGGGCCTGGGAACCAAGCAACCACGGTTCGATTCCCAGTCAGGGCACATGCCTGGGTTGCAGGCCAGTTCTCTCCCTCTCTCCTTCCTTTCCCCTCTAAAGATAAATAAATAAAATCTTTTAAAAAAAAAAGATACCAAGAGAAGGGGAAATCAGAGTTTATGGCGACATCAAGGGAGAAACAAAGATACAGAGATAGGGATACAAACAAAAAAGAAAAAGAACAAACAAGTGAAAAGAGAATGGAAAAGAGGAGATAGATATTGAAGTTGGGAGACTCAGAGATAAAAACGGAAGGGCAGAGAGTGTCAGAACAAGAGTGTCAGAGAAGTGAAAGAGTTGAACAGAGAGAAGAAGAAAAGTAAGAGCGACGAGAGTGGGCACGCACACTTTACCCTGAGTGTTCTTAGGTCTGTTGTCTCAGTTGGAGAACGGGACCTGACTGAGCAGGACGGCTCTGATGTCCTCACCTCAACCACCTAGGTCATGGAGGTGAACAGGAAGGCCGCCTCCCCTGGGGATTTGTTGGGACTGGGAACCATCTCAAGAAGCCTATTTAGGGCCAACCTCTGGATCTGACCAGTGGGGGCTGTCTCAGGAATCTATAGCGTCATCAGACTGGCTACAGCCATGTGGAAGAGGAAGGGTGTGCAATGATCATTTCTTTCTTATTGAATTTTTGTTGAGATTTTATTTATTTATCTTTAGAGGGAAAGGGAAGGAGAGAGGGAGAGAAACATCAATGTATGGTTGCCTCTTATGCATCCCCTGCCGGGAACTGGCCCGCAACCAAGGAATGTGCCCTGACTGGAAATCGAACTGCGATCCTTTGGTTCGCAGGCCCGCGCTCAATCCACTGAGCTACACCAGCCAGGGCTCTTTCTTATTGAATTTATTGGGGTGACATTGGTTCATAAAATTATATTGGTTTCAGGAGTACAATTCTATAATACATCATCTGTATATTGTGGTGTGTGTTCACCACCCCAAGTGCAATGATCCCTTCTGAGGTGACAGACAAACCTTGCCCACACTTATGCCGCCTGAAAGTGACAAAGCTGGGCTCTGTATCCTTATTTATAGTGCTTAGAGTTTCAGAGATGTCATAATTCTTTTTTTTTTAAAGATTTTATTTATCTTTAGAGGGGAAGGGAAGGAGAGAGGGAGAGAAATATCAATGTATGGTTGCCTCTTATGCATCCCCTGCCGGGAACTGGCCCGCAACCAAGGAATGTGCCCTGACTGGAAATCAAACTGCGATCCTTTGGTTCGCAGGCCCGCGCTCAATCCACTGAGCTACACCAGCCAGGGCTGCAACATAGTTTCCAGGACGACACATTACCAGTCATGATTATGTGTGTCATTGGAAGGTTTTTGCAGGCCATAGCCACAATTTCTGAGCCCCCGTTAAAATAACAATTTCAAGGACAGATATTTTTTTAAAATTATTGTTGTTCAATTATAGTTGTCTGAATTTTACCCCCACCACTTCCCTCCACACCAGTCAAACCCCAGACTTACCTTAATGGAGATGAAATCAGCAACAGGCCTGGCATTCACACAGGGCTCTGTTTGTACAGAAACTCAAGACAAAGCTGCTCACCTGAAGACGTCACCAGAAGAGATGGTGTGAACTATATGATACAGAATGTAGCTCTTCCTCCGCAACACGCAGAGGAGGGCATTTCTTTTCCTCCTCGGATTCCTCTAGTTGTTTATGAAGACAGTTATAGGACTGAGCTCTGAAATTTTATTTAGTGAGTATTAGAAAGAGAAAACATTAGGTCTAGGGATCTAAATTTTTTATTGCAAAATATGAAGGATAGGGCCAAAGAGGATTAAAAAATTTTTTTTCAGTGAAATAATGAACATGTATTGTTTTTCTCCTACAAAAGAAAATCTTATTTCCTTTAGGATCTGCTCCACTGAACCCTATTTCCTTAATAACTTCAGTTCAGCCCTGGCTGGTGTGACTCAGTGGATTGAGTGCTGGCCTGTGAACTGAAAGGTCATCACTGGTTCCATTCCTGGTCAGGGCACATGCCTGGGTTGCAGGCCAGGCCCGCACCTGGAGGCATGTGAGAGGCAACCAAATGATGTTTCTTTCTCACATGTTTCTCTGCCTCTCTTTCTTCTGCCCCTAATAATAAATAAACCTTTAAAAAATAATTTCAGTTCAAACAGGCTTTCTGCATACCCCTCACATACCCCAGGCTGGAGTCTAACTTCTGGGGACTTAGAGAGGACAGGGGGAAAATGGGATGTCCTCGGAGGTCATTTCTTCACACAGGAATTTTCTGAGATGTGACAGGTCCT